TATCTTATTAGAACTTAGATAAGAATATATATAATAAGCGATTTCCGAAGAACTTTAGCGACTATATTATCTTTAAATTAAATTTCGAATATTTTATATATTATCGATATAGGCCTATTAAGATATTAGATAATAAATCTAAGTAGAATTGCTAGATAGTATCTTATAATCTCTATTTATCGATTAAATATAACGCTTATATTAATATAAAGATCTATATTAATATTAAAATCTATAAATATATCTTTAAATATATTTATAAGAGTAGCGATTAAGTTAGTTTTTAAATAGAGTATAAGAGCGATATAGATTAAAACGATATAGGATTAAACTAGATAGATAAGATTTAAGAGTATTAAGATATATAATATATAAACTCTATAAAAGTTTATTAGAGAATTTTTAACTTTAAATTATATAATTATAATTCTTCTATTAAATAATTATTTATTTATCTCTCGAATTAATACGGCGTAATATTTAATAATAATAATAATCTATTCTATATAATTAATATAGAATATAAACGCTAGATTAAGTTAATAGTCTTTTTTTAATTAAATTAATAGCGTTAATAGAAAAGATAAATAGAAGATCTCTTCTATATCGATCTATCGATATAATATATCTAGAAAAAGAATAAGCGAGCTATATTTAAATAAAGTTTACGTTAGAGGCGTAGAGGTATTATTAAAAGAATATATTATATTAATTCGAATATTAAAAAGCTTTTCTATTTATAATACTTTCTTCTAAATATATTAAATTCTATATTCTTTTTTTTTACTATAATATCTATATAGTAAAAGACTTACTTTATAATAATATTAAATAAAATTAAATATTAAATAAAGTAGCGGTCTAAAAGAGAGAATATTACTTACGAGATCTTTTTATAATAATTCTATTATAATATAAGCTCGATAACTCTCTAAATTTATAAAATAATTATAAATTAAGATATATAAATAATTTCTTTTTTATTAGATAGAAATATTTTAAGCGTAATATAAATAGCTTATCGCGCTAATAATAATATTAAAATATTATAACTTTTTTTAATATAGTATTTCTTTTTTTATATATTAAAACTTTTCGCGTTAGATATATTTTTTCTTAATAATTTTTTTAATAAATTAAAGTATTTTAAGTTATAGAATAAGAAGATTATCGCGCTAATAATGATTTTAAAATATCGCGATTTTTTTTAATATAATATTCTTTTTTTAGTCACTAAAACTTTTCGCGCTAGACGTATTTTTTCTTTTTTTACTTATAAATAATTTAATTCTTTACTCGCACTTTGCGTATATTTCTTAATTAATATTTATTATTCTTTATTTAAATTATCTAATAATTTTATTTATATTCTTTAAACTTAGTATTATATTCTTTCTCTATTAAATAATATATAATATAAATAAATCGTTATCGAAGACTTCTATCTTTATTTAATTTAAATTCGCTTAAAGAAAAATAATATTAGCTCTATAAAGAATATTAGTCTTATTATTAGCTTTAATTTACTCGCGATTTAGCGAGATTATAAATAATATTATATTAATAATTAAAATCGACTTTTACGCGAAGTATATAGCTATTAAATTAATATTTAGAATTAGATATAAGCGAGTTTTAATAATAATTAAATTACTATAGCTAACGCTATTTAAAATACAATCTCTTATTTTAATAATTAACTCTTTTTTTTCGATAACTATAGAGATATTAATAAGATTATATTTTAGAATATTATATTATAAAGAGTATAAAATAACTCTAAGATAGTTATTACTATAGCTTTATCTAATATTATCTTTATTCTTCTTTAAGATAATATTATTATTTATTCTTACTTTAAGATCTCTCTTAATATTATTATTTAATTTAATTATAATATATCGATAGAATTTAATTTAGCTTAATTATTAAAGGCGATTAAGCTTATTTTCTAAAATAAGATCTCTATATAAAATCGCTATAATATCGAGATCGTCGATTATATATTTTAAGATATTTAAAAAAATCTCGCTTCTTTTAATAATATAATTATATACTTCTATAATAACTTTTATTAAATTCTTTTAGTTATTAAGAATATTAAGTTAAGTTATATTACTTAAGCTACGTTAAGGGCGTTTTATCTTTAAAATTATATTTAAATTCTTAGATTAATAGAAAATATAAGACTTTAAAATCTTAATCTAATTAATTAAGATTAAACTAATATAAAGGAATTTATTTAAAGGCTATTAGATATAGATAATAATATTTTAATAAGCTTCGAGAAATAAAAAGTAATTAATTAATCTATTAAGTAGCTATTAGATAACTCTATTACTTAGCTAATTAATATTATTTATAATAATCTTAATCTATATTAAATAGCTAATTTCTATACGTCTAAGGCGATTCTTTATATTCTTAATAAGAATATTACTCGATTTAATAGTTAAGTTTTTAATAAGTTTTTTAAGATTAAGATCGTTTATAATAGTAGAGATTAAGTCGTTAATAAGAAAGATAGCTTTCTTCTACTTATTAAAATAATAAATATCTTTAAATTAATCTTACTTTTACTCTATTACTTAAAGTTAAAATAGAATTATATAATAATATTATTAAGGAATTTAGAGTAGCGTATAGATTTATATAATAAGATATATCTATAAATTAAGTATATTAAGTCTAAAATACTCGATTATTATATCTTTAAAGATAAATATAATAATAAATAATATTATATATTACGTATTCCTCTAACTTCGCCTAATTTAAACGATCTATATACTTTTTTTTAATATATTTAATTTCTAATTCGATTAGTCTTTAATATAACGATTAATAAGTCTCAAAGTTAGTTATTATAGTAGATCAATTTATATCTATATTTCGAGATCTTTATCTATAGTTAATTATATATAACTTTAAGTTAAATTACTAATAAGATTAATCTATTAATTATAATTTTAGATAATCTATTAAAAAGATAATCTACTCGATTAATAAGATATATTAAGAATAAGATTATTAAGTAGATACTTCTTTTTTAGATAAGAATATAATTAATTAGCGATCTATAGTGATAGAAGTAGGCCATTTATCGCATAGAATATAAGTAGAGTTTGATTTAACTTAGAGTTAAAGCTTTTATCTTCTTTATTAATTTCGTAGTAGTAGAAGTAGATTAAAAACGCATAGTAAGCGATTAGAGTTCGATTTGACTTAGGGCTAGGGCTAAAATTTCATTTAACTTAGAAAAATCCAACTCCATTTGACTTAGAAAAATTCAACTCCATGAATTTAATTTATAGGCCTTTACTTATAGTTATAATAATATCTTAACTATTCTAACTAATTAAGTTATCGTAGTTATGAAATATCTTAATATTTTAAATATTTAGACTATCGCAGTTATAAAAATATTTTAATTATTCTAGCTATTTAGATTATTATAGCTATAGAAATATTTTAGTTAAATTATTATTACTATATTTTAATTAATTAAACTATTATAGTTATTAGAATATCTTAGCTATTTTAGCTAATTAAGCTATTGTAACTATAGAATATCTTTATTATTTCGACTATTTAGACTATCGTAGTTAGAGAGATATTTTATTTATTCTAGCTATTTAAGCTATCATATTAAGCGATAATATATTAAAGTCTTATATTAGATATAAAGTTCTATTAAGAGCTATAATTTAGATTAATTTTTTCGCAGAGAGACTATAATTTAATATTAAGAGCTATTATTTAAATTAATTAATTTAATATTAAGAGTTATTATTTAAGTTAGTTCTTTCGTAGAGAGGCTATAACTTAATATTAAAAATTATTATTTAGACTAGTTTTTTCGTAGAGAGGTTATAACTTAATATTAAGAGTTATTATTTAAATTAGTTAATTTAGTATTAAGAATTACTATTTAAGCTAATTCTTTTATAGAGAAATTATAACTTAATATTAAGGGCTATTATTTAAATTAGTTAACTTAGTATTAAAGATTACTATTTAAGTTAATTCTTTTATAGAGAGGCTATAAATTGATATTAAGAACTATTATTTAGATTAATTCTTTTATAGAAGAGCTATAATATCAATATATAATTTTAACGATTCTTATTATCTTTTTATTACTTATTTAATTTATTTATTATTTATTATAATATTAATATCTTTTAATCTATTCGCGTTAGTATTATTAGTCTCTACTACTTACTATAATAGATATTATTAAAAATTCTTTTTAAAATCTTCATTTTCTTAAATAACGTCTTAAATTATTTAAGAGTTTTTCTAGCGCTAAAGAGCTTTTTTCGAGATTATTTATATATTTAGAAAGATCTTAATTATTCTAATATTAAATATATCTAAGTATCTATTTATAGATTTATTTATATATATATTATTTTCTATATAGTCTTACTATTTGCGAGTATTAATTATAACAGTAGAACTATAAGTTAGTAGATTTATTATAAGATTATAGCGTTAATAGCTATTTAATTAATTATTCTATTATTATACGATATATAATATACGATATATAAGAGATAGATAAATATAGCGAGTATTACTTATATAGCTACTATATCTATAATAAGCTCTTTATTCGAATTATTCTCTTTTAGAGTTATATTATTATTCTTTCTTCTACTTACGCCTATATATAATTATATTTTCACTTTAAGGTATATCGCTTAGATATAAGAGTTTTTCTAGTATTAAGAGACCTTTTTTGAATTATTTACATATCCAGAAAGGTCTTAGCTATCCCAGTATTAGATATACCCAATCATCTATCTACATATCTACTTGTGTATACGTTATTTTCTGTATGGCCTCACTGTTTGCGAGCACTACCGAGGAGAATGCTGGCATGCTCAAGAAGAAATGCAAATCCATTCCGATATAAATCTGTACTTACAGTGAAAGTGTACTGGTAAAAGAATTCCATAACCCGATATTGGAGATCAATCGGAGGCGAAGTTCTCTCAAGCCTTCAGGCTCAAACATGAGCTCTTCCAAAGTTTTCGATATTTGTTGCCGAAGCCTGCGAGATTGGCATCCAGAGTTTGATACTTGTCCATGATCTTGTCCAAGTCTTTGAGCACGTTCTCGCATCCTCGGATGTGATCTTGGCGATCCTGGTGTTGCTGAGGCGTGAGTTCTCGCTCCGGTAGGACTTCTTCAAGGTCACGATGGATATTGGAGAGGCTTTTCACCCTTTTGATTCTCGGTGTGTCGATCGAAGCCCAAAGACACTACCCCAACATGTATCAGAGCAAACGGAGTCGAAGAAAGATAAGGTATGATAAGGAACGATGTGTAGAGTACAGGCGAAATTTAGAATTCTAACAGGCGCTGTCGAAGTGTACATACCATCGCAAATATCATAAGACATGGCTTTGTATCTTCGCTACCGTTCAAAAGAAGTGGGAGCGACTCACTTATCAGAGACAGCCTTGAATTGATCAGACGAGTCCACCAAGCGCTTGCGGACCTTGTTGGCCAGGTGCGACACCGCGATGATATCGCCGATGCTAAAGCCAAAGCTCATGGCGCTGAATTCTGGTTTGCACTTCGTTGACTGCACTGGTAAGTAGAGTCTGTGATTCCACCCGAAGTGGTACTTTATAACCTCCAAGAGGCCAGGTTCTGGTCAAAAGGCACCGCTGGCCTTCTCTTTCCGATCAGCAGATAGTAGCGTGCACAAGACTGATGATGACTGGCGGAGATTTTTGCTTTGTCTGCTTGATAGATGATGTATGTTGATGGAAACATTGACAGTTGTTGACGAGGCTTGCGAGGCGCAGAGCATGCAGCCTTCTATCTTACGCTAAACTAGAAAAAGGGTGACAGCTGCATGCCGCCTTCCTAATATGTCATGCGGGAAATTGCAGTGCGAATGGGTTTGACGAATGATCAGGCTGAGATTTGAGAAGGGTTGATTTGATGAGAGAGATGGCGAGCCCATGGGAGGATCGTCCGCAAAGCCTGAGACCCATAGATATATCTTATCACGGCCAACATATCACCTCCCTGTCGCCATTAGTCATCGCCGTTATCATACTCATCGCCGAGATCACATTTGCTATGTTGGCCATGTACTGTTGTCGACGCTGATGGTCGTCGTGGTCGACACATGCAAAGCCTGTCTTAGGAGCAAGCAACTCCTTTCAAAAATCGTCTGCGAACTAGGAATCTAGGTACACTTTCAGCACGAAATCTATAGCATTTGATGAAATGTAAGAAAAGGTGATATCGTACAAGTATACTCGAGCAACGTAACATGATCTCGAGTTCTCGATCTTGAAGCACCGAAGCATTCTAAACTGCTATTTGCAAGGCTCAATGAGCCTTGCACGCGCGTGTTGAAATATCCCGCCTAAGGGCAATGGTATATACAAGCTCGAACCCGCATTCATGCCAAACTAATGAAGAAATCTGGTTGAAGGCCCTGCGTCCAACAATGCACCTCTCAAGCTCCTTGGAATGCTCCACCCCCAACACCATCGCTTCCGATTAACAGGCCTCATAAAGCATCATCGCCTACCATATGTTCAAAGCTCACAGCCACCCGTCTCCTTGGCTGCAATCCACCGCCTGAATGAACACAGCTACTCCTCTCCACCACTAGTCTCTCCCTGCACCCACATCCTCCTCAGCAGCCCTTCCACACCTTCGTCCATCGGCCCATCCTCCTCATGCTCCTCCACCAACTCTGGGCTTCCCTTCCCCACCTCAAATCTCACTCTGCCCCTCCCGTGCGACGCCTCCCCAGAGTTCCCGACTGGCGTCTTGACGCTCTTCCCCTTATGCCCATCAGGCGCTTTCTTCCCATCCAGCTTCTTTTGTCCATCAAATTTCCGCCCATCGAGCTTGCTCTGCACGGCTTGTTGCTTGAGACTGCCAGCAAGCAACTCGGGATAGAACCGCCTCGCATTCGCACACTCGACCCTTGCCTGCGTCCACTGCCTTGCCTGTCTCGCCTCCATCTCTTTCGACCCAGCGCTGAGATTCTGGATTCCGAAACCTGATCCGTGTTGTAAGAGCGGGTGTTGATCGGATGGTGGATCACGCTGCGTGGACATGCGCTGCAGATCCAACTTCAGCTGCGTGAGTGATTTGCCCTTAGTGGGATCGGCGCCGCGGGCTGATTCGAAGGGTGAGACGCGAGTTTCTTTTGGAGGCTTGAGTGGGTTCTTGCCATTGGATTGTTTCGGTATGGGTGGAGATGCTGAGCTGGATTCGCCGTTGCTGAGACGCGGGTGGGACAGATTAGCCGCAGATTTGACCCTGCGAGTAGGGGCTTTGACGGTTGAGGATGAGTCTGTTGGAGAGCCTGGACGGTCATGGTGGGTGGTGTGGTTGAGATGTGCTAGATTTTGCTGAAGGTGAGATACAGAGCCTGGTGTTGCGCTGCCGGAGTTCGAGCCTGTGCCGTTGAGGAAGCGAGATATGCCGTCTCCGGGCATGGAATCCCTGTTACCGAATGTGGAGTCCTGGCTGTGAACGAATGCTGGAGAACCGCTGGAGCCATTTGGTGTAACTGTTGCCGATACATTAGATGTTTTAGGTGCTGCGTTGTGGGCACTGCGATTGAGGAGACGGTGAGTCACGTCGTCTGCGTCTGGTGGGTGAGAGTATGGGGATCTGTCTCGATGATGATCTTGCTCCTTTGCATGATCGACGAAAGCTGAAGGATTATTAGGTGGAGACTGTGGAGGTGATTGAGGAAGATTTGGAGGAGACGGTTCTGCGGGCTCATCTGGCGAAGGAGGATCTTCCAGTTGGGGAGTCTTACGACCTACTGAGCCATGTCGAGTGGTATGGGGTGACTGTGAGTTGCTCTCCTCTGTCCAGTCATCGTTCTCGTGGTCCTCATTTCCCACCTCGAAGCTCGCCTGCCCTTTCACGGGACCATCATCATCGCCCTTTTTGCGCAAGCTATTCTTCGTCTGCGCCTTCTCGCCCTTCGATTGGTTCCCCAGTTTGGTCAATGAAGGGTTCCGCCCCAGAGATACTTCGGATTTATTCTTCTTTATAGACGCCTTAGACCCAACTCTTGGTAAGCTGAGATTAGAGCTATTGCGCTTGAAGTTCTGTGTTGTTGGGCTGGCCGTTGGTGTATGCGACGCTGATCTAGTATGGTGTCTTGTATGTCCTGCAACCTCTCCTGCATCGCCAGGACCCAACTTGGAGAGCTTGTGTAGACCCTTGCCATGTGATGGCACTCTTCCATACGGGTGACGTCCATGACCGACGGCATGCGCCTTGTGCAGCTTGGTTGAGGATCCTTTGTTGTGCGACTTGGAGAGATGACCGGTATTTGGAGACCCCTTGGAGAGAGAAGCCGAGGATGAAGCGCGCTCGTTCAGCTGTGGTCTTCTGCCTGGTGATGGAGAGGCGCGGCCAGACATTCTGTGTACTTTTTTGTGCTGTCGGGAAATTGATGTGGGGCTGCTGATTTGCGGTGCGGGTGAGCGCGGAGGTTTGCGACAGTGCGTGAGAGACTCCTCAGATGATGAAATTTGCTGTTAGTGGACTCACGAAGCCATTACTAAGATCGCTGAGTCAATGCTGTTATAGTGACTATGTTGTATCATAATATGACTGTCTGCAAGCAGAAGCAAAGTGAGCGCAAACTTCGCGCCACGATCATTGTCCAATCGGTAACACTCCTTGCCTAGCGTCGCCTTACAAGGCGTGCTTCTCAAACCAAATATTGCCCCTGAACCCCTGACTGATACATAGTCTTCACAAAGGAGATCTTTCGCATGCAGGACAAACTTGGTGCAGTATGGGGAAGGTAGTGGATGGAGGGTCAAAAATCAAATGTATCAGTTCTATTCGTATAGGTGCGAAATATCCGAGAAATTCAGACGCACCGCCTACGCCACGCTTAGAAAGCAGATATGCTTGCAATGCTTGGAGTTCAGTAAACCTCCAAAACATATCTCAGCTGATCCTTCAACTTTTCAATCTCAGTCCTCGGGGTCACCTTCTTGCCTATCATCTGTGCGTCCCTGGCGATAGCATCTTCAAGCACGTTGGTGACATCAGGTACAGGCCATGTAGGACCGCCTAGCAGCAACGCATCAGTAAGCTCGTCTTCACGCTTTTGCAGAAGCACTTACAAAGATAGAAAGCCCCTTCCTCCTTCAGATAAGCCTGGATGATATCATTCATTGTCTGCCTCATCCGATCCTGGATATAGATCTTCTGCGGCTGATCACGGGAGAAAGCACGACCAAGCAGCGTGATGACACCAGCATCCTGATAGGCCTCCCACTCCTCTCCATAACAATACTCTTCTCTTTGGTGTCTCGAGCCCATGTAGAGCAATACGGACCCAATCTCCTTGCCCTGTGCCTTCTCCCACGCGCGATACTGCACAAAGGCTCGGAATGGCGCAAGACCAGTGCCAAGACCAGCCATGATCAATGGCTGGGTAGACTTCGGTGGCAGCTTCATCACACTCGGCTTGACTGAGACAGTGACAGGAGCGCCGACTCTGAGCTTGTTAAGAAACCTTGTAGCTTGACCAAATCTGTCACGACCCTTCGGATCTACCCAGCCGACCACCACAATCATCAAAGCAACGCTGTTCGGCGTCACCTTCTGGCATGACGCAATTGAGTATTCTCTTCGCTTCAACGGACTAACAATGCGGACAATATCATGGAAGCTTGGATGGGCCGAAGGGAACTCCAAAAGGATGTCGGCGTAAGTAATAGTATCTACTTCGGCTCTCCTCTTGAATTCCTGGTTACCCTCTTTGGTAGGGCCTCCCAATGTGGTAAGCTCTTTCCGCTCATCGGGATCATCGGCGAACTCAGCCAAAGCTTCGTAGAATCGCTTCGGTGGTCGGCCGAAGATGTCGACATTCTGCATAAGAGCTTGGTACACTGTCCTGTTCTCGAGCACCTCGAGATTCTCGCGACTCGACACCTCAACAATCTCCTTAGGATCAAGCTTGTAGAATTTGATAAACTCCTCGACCTCGACTTCGTCATTCTCAGCATGAATACCGAGCGCTTCTCCAATATCGTAGGTCAGGCCTGAATTCCCAAGATCAAATTCGATGTGGAAAATATTTCTGTCGTAAGATGGCGGCGTAAGTCTGCGATTCTCCTGTACATGCACTGTGTAGGTCTTGACGTTGACATCTGGGCGCAGTGCCGGCTTTGTGCCGTAAGCCTCCTTGAAAATCAAGCCTTTGGCCGCCGTCTTCCAGTCTTTGAGATACGTGGGTGGGTCTACCTCAATCTTGTCGTAAGCTACAAAGCTGCTCGTACATATGTCCTTGAACAATGAGGGTGGCGTGCCCTCTAATTCCTCGGTGGCCCAAGTCTTGGGGATCTCCATGAGTCGCAAAGCGTTGTCTAGAACCTTGGCCAATTCCTGCAATGTCTCGATTGTTCCGTTGACAGATGCCAGCTTCTGCAATCCAGTCTTCTCAAGGTTGGGCAACGCGACGCGCAAGAATGCCAGCTCCGTCAAGTATACTTCCTGTGCTGGATCATTGGCTATGACCTCAACTGCTGGTGGATCAAGAATATACAACTTAGCACCTTTGGCGGCCAATGCGTTTCTAAATTCGACTGGAAGCTTCTTTTCAAGATCGTCATCTTTTACGCCTGGTAGCTTCAAAATGATCTTTCCGCCAGCCTTGAGGCCACCGAGGATGTCATACATCTTGAGGAGGCTTTCGCCGCCGACATAGACTACATCTGCTGCATCGATCGAGTAAGAAGCCTCGATCGTCTTCTTAGACTTCCGAATATCAGAACGGAACACTCCTCCTTGAATCAGATTGTCGTATCCTGTCTTGGTGGTGACGTTGTTCGCGGAATCTGTTGCCAAAGCTTGGCCGAGCGCAACCGGCGCGTTTGCCGAGTCTGAGGTATCAATGTCCCAAAAGGTATACTGCTGAACAGATGAAGGGTCAAGCAACTGGAGGGCCGAAGGGGCTCCAGATTCAGTCCATATGTCCTCAGGTTGCAAAATTGGCTTCTCCACCAGCAGTTGGAATGCTGCCGCAACAGAGACAGGCGTCCAGACAGTTTCCCTCGCATATTTCACGTCTAGTACCGCTGGAGGCGTTGCCCATTTGTCTGAGTATGCGATCGCTGCTATAACGTCGCAATACAGATTCGAGCGAACGCTGCTGTCCGATACCGCTTGCTGATCGTCAACTTGACCAAGCACACCGATCGTCCTCACTGACTCAGGCAGGACCCCGAGAAATTCCTCTTCAATGAATGGCCTGTAGACTCTGACATTCACGACTCCCACTTTCGCGCCTTCTCTTTCGAGCGACAGAGCAACCTGCGAGGCCAATGACGACTCTACAGTCCCGAAGACTGTCAGCACCGAGTCTGGTGTTGCGTGGCCGTGATACTCGAAGACCCCGTACTGAGTACCAAGCTCGCCATTCAACGCGTTCAGCAGTCGCAGCACTTTCGTGTCTGTGTTCACACTCTTCTTTCCTGGTGCAGATATTTCATTCTGAACGGCCTTGTAGGTATTGTGCAGACCAGCTTGATCTAGGACATCAATAACTCTTGTTGTCTCCCTGCCAATGCTGACCCCATCGTAAATGTGTATGGTGGGCATGATGCTCGCAAGCAGCGTAGAGAGCAATGCCATATGCTGCGCCTCATATGCAGAGAATGAAGACACCATGCCGAATCCCAGCTCTTCTGCCAGCGACAAAGCGGAGACGTAATCCGCGACCAACTGTGAGGAAGCTCCAGCATAGTCAATGGCCGCGATATGAGCCACAAATGGACTGACATCGGAGTATAGCTGTGAGAGCTGATTTAAAGCCGCTTGAAGGTACTGTAGAGTGGAGGACGATGCTAGGATTGACTGAGGAACATAGCGCCTCTTCCGGTCGAAATCTTTAGAGGAGATGTATCCCAACGCTATGGACGCAGCGCCCTGCCGAATCTGCATGGACTCGACATTCGTGGGGTATCCATGAACATTTTTCGACCCCTCTCCAAACCAATCTTTGACAGCGACATCGAGGTCGAATGTCTCAGGCGAGTACGTCCATAGTCTGTCGGAAAGGGTGTAGGCGACTTGTTGGATCAATGTCTGGGCCGTAACATATGTGGGTCCACCAATTGAGGCTAAGGATACGGACTGACTGAAGGGCAGGCTTGTAGAGTATTGCTTGAATTCTTTCAGCTTTTTCTCCGGCCCTTCGCGAACAGGCTCGGGCTCTGCTGGGCCGTTGGACTCGGCTGGTTGAAGACGCATGACGGGCAAAGAGAACAGACAAGGGAGGAAGAAGGAAGAAAGAATGCGCAGAATGAGAGAACCAAGGAAAGCAGTGTTGGTAAGCGTCCATTTTCACCGACATCATTTCGGACTTTTTGACCGCCACAGCGATTTGCTAGCAAGAATTGCGTGATCCGATCAGCGGCATTGAAAAGTAATTACAAGTACATGGCATTTTTGGTGTCCGCTGATTAGATAACTTTAAATCTCCGGCAATCTTAATCCCTGTCACGGCCATGAGATCGGTCGTCGATCATTGTCAATACAGGTACAACTTCCTGCAGGAGGAATGTCATCAGCAGCGCTCGTAGGTTGCACTGGGCTTGTGGTAGCTATTCCAAACCTGAGATCGACTTCTCCAGCTACTCAGACTGAATAACATATAGGGTTCCCACATCCTCACGACCCTCACGTCTCTCTCCTCTCATCCCACTATCCATGCAATAGCTCGCCGCGACCTCCCAACATCTTCAGCCAACGTTCACCCTCTCATCGAACCTGACAGCTCAAAATGGCCTTCCAGTCTCCAATCTCTCTCCCCAACCCCAAACATCTTCCTCTCCGGCCTCGGCACCACCAAAGCGCAAGCGGGCTCCTTCGAAGCCCAGCGCAAAGTAGACTACGATCTCAATGTTTCTCTCGCTAAGGCTGCAAAGGAGTCCGGAGTCAAAGTTTACGTACTCATCTCATCGGCTGGCGTCTCCACCAAATCTTTGTTCCCGTACGGCAAGATGAAGGCCGAATTGGATGAAGCGGTTCAAGAGCTTGGGTTTCCTCACACAATCCTAGTGAAGCCAGGGCTGCTAGTCGGACCGAGGAAGGATAGTCGGCCTATGGAGGCAGCCTTCCGGGTTGTAGCAAAGGGACTAGGCGCGATAAGTAAGGGGTGGTTGACAGACTGGTGGGCACAGGATGCGGATGTTATTGGCAGGGCTGCTGTTGCGGCTGGGATGCAATGCGTGGAGGGCAAAAGAGACGAGGGGGTTTGGGTGGTCAGTCAGAACGACATTATCAGATTGGGTAGGACGGAGTGGAAAGGCGAGACATGACTGGGCAAACATGTTCCGGGACACTCATTTCATTGAGTGCGTCTCTAGACTCAAGAAATAACCACAGATTCATTGGAAGTCAGCAAAGTTGACGCTCTGACGAACGCTCACTCCGATGTCTTCGAAAAGTGTCATTTCACGTTTTTTGGGGGACCTTTCCTTACTCCACTCATCCGCTGTGTTTAGCAATGCTTGCTTCCTTTGCTCAAAGCACTGCCACACCACACATCAAGTCCATCAACCTGTCCTGTTCTTCATTACTCAGATCAAATTCATCTTCCTTAACTTTGAAGCCTTTCCTCTGCCTTTCTTCATACTCCTCCATGCCTACCTCATGATATGCACTACCCAAATCTTTAGCGACGCGAGCATCCCACGCTTGTTCGTGGATCTTATTGTCATCTCCCGCTACCCCCATGATACCTGCCTTCTTCTCACTATCTTTGCGTTTTGGCTCCAGTCGATCTACGCTTTTTGCCCCATGTGGGCGGGGATGACCGCCGGTGTGCTTAATGATATACTCTTTGTCGAGCTCGAAGCAGAGTGTGTCCTAGGTAGGAGAGCCGTTCAGGCCTTTGCGACGGCATCCATCGATGCGCGCTATGTTGCTGTCAGGGTTTATTTCTGGGACTGTGGCATGGCTTTTCTTCGCCTTTTCGGCGATGGGGGCCTGAGGGTTTTGTCGCCCTCGGCGTCCTCGGTGTCTAAGGGAAATATCTTGGAATCTGGCAGCACGTTTTTGCCGAGCACGTATGCGGCCTTTTCGATGTCGACGGCGGAGACTCCTATGCCGGATTGTTTCTCCAGACGCTCTCGGAGCTCGGCTACTCTTTCGAAGAGGGTTTTGTATTCTTTGATTGTGTAATTGATTTTTCGATCCCAGCCTTTCGATTTGGCGTCCTCCCAGTGTAGGTAGCGGTAGAGTTCGTCGGAAAAGAACGGAACTCTTACGGGGTCGTAGCACGACAGTAGTAGTGACGACGTTGCGGGCCCGATTCCCTTCAGCTTATTGAGGGCTGTGATAGACTTGCCATAGTCGTCTTTATCCACCTCGTATACCTCGAATGCTTTCTTCGTCGTCTCACGGACGTCTGTGACGCTGTTCGACGCGACGAGCTTGGTAAGATTAGGACGGTAGGTACCATGTTTTCTATAATCATCGAGTTATAAGCTGCTGAGGTTTGCGAAGGAATATGTCAGACGCACAGTTTCCATTCGACTAGGCTTGTCAATTCTGTCTTTTCAAGGAATGATTCGCCATTCTTTTTGCGCTGAACGAGAGTTTCAGGGACCGTGCTGAGGCGTAGCTGTTCGAGACCTCGGATCTTGTCTGGGATGTGAGAGTCGTAGCTCAGAAGGTGGGTGCGGAGGGTGTCAAAGGAGATTTGAGAGGCGCTATCGTTGGCTTTCATGGTGCAGATTGTGAGTCAGTGTCGGGACTCTTAACTCCTACCTGTTTTGATCCTTCAGATTTGCAGATAGCAGATATGGCAAGAGCTATGTATGACGTCTTTGTTTACTTTGCGCAAGACGCTTCACGCGGCTGCGCTTGTCTCTTGCCTTAGCCCAATCAGTCTTTCACCTTTCAATTGGCCAATTCCTAACGCCGAGTTCATCGACCAGCATTGCGCGAAGAGATTGGTCAACACATATTAACTAACAATGAATGCGTGAGCACAGGCATAGAAGCTGGCGTTGCGCCCCATGCCCAGATATCACAAATGAAATGGACAATGACCAGACGGCACCAAAAGCGCAACCATGCGGAGAATTTTCACCTTTGCCTTACTGCTTGTTGCGCTAAGGTCTTTGCCTGGTAGTATGCCCAACAGCTTTTGCCCGTCTCAAACGTCGCAGATGATGATCATGGCGTGTATCCCCTGTCATTGATGGCGATATGCCTTCACGATACCTCGCCATGTTATGCTGCAACACTCACCACGCTCTCCTCCCCCAACATGAAGATCAGTACCCCCCTAGCTGCCAGTTATGTGCCAAGACACGTCATGCTCTGCGTCCTGCACCGCTACGACCGCTTGCGGTCCAGGGCGGACTGATGCTGATACGCCCGCTACCAGCTGCCGAGGCTGTTGCACAAATTGTGATATAGGATCATACGAGACTATCCGTATCTTGGTAAAATGTTCTCACCTGTACTCTTGAATGCGGAAACGAAAGCGCATCAGCACCTCCAACTATCTGCATACTACCAGTTTCCGCCAAGTGTCCAGTAAAGCTGGTTGTTCATGCTTACACATGCGCCGCATGCTTGTACAGTAGCAGAAGACTGGCTCCAATCTTTACGGCTTCGACATTGCCCTCTATGATCATGCTGGCTGAGTATGAGAACAAAAAGTCTTTTACTATCCCATTACAGGGGTTGTTACTGTTCTATTTCTTGCGGCGCCACAAACGTTTGCTTGCATCTCGAGAGGTACGATCTAAGCTGCAATAGTCCTCATCTTTCTCGTAAAAAATTGCCTAACCTTTGATTGGATTTGGGTCTTCATCGGAATCTGCATTCCTAACAAACTACCGCTTGAGCTCAGCCAGAGGATCGCACAGTATCTGGGCTCTCTCATGCCATAAGAGCTCGAGCCTTTTCCAAAGACTTGTTAAGCATTCTGGTGTCTTGCTAGACTACCCAGTGTCTGTTGCGACCTTGGCATGGGACTGGCGGATCGACCCTACGTATCCCTGAGGGTCTGTCGCAAAGGGCTATCTCGTCTCTGAAGGCAGAACACATCAGCGCATACCGGTCTGGAACAGCATGTGATATGCTAACTGTCCGACGGCCAATCTCCTGCTATGGTTCGTTTTCCAACCACGTGGCCTATTCGAACAGTGAAGTCGCTTGGACCGACAATATTACATCTACTATGCACGTTCTGACTCTCGAAGACGGTGGCTGTTGTTTGACAAAACAGGGTGATGGAAAGGCACTGACCAAGTTCAATGATGGCTGTCACCACTCTCACCGGCGAACGCCGGATCACTGATCTCGTAAAGGAACTGGAACATCTGTTTCAATTGAGTCCTACAAACATCGAAAAGATTATGGTGGCCAAGGAAACTCTTGCTGTACTACACAGACCTTCGACATCGAAACCAACGCAGGTTGGTGTGCCAACGTGGACATTGAATGTTCGTACTCCGCTCCGTTTCGCCGCTAGTCTCCATCGATCACTTGAGCAAGCACTGAGAACATGCGATCTAGAAATCGTGCTCGACTGCTCTAAAGTATTACTGGTGATTTGTGAACGAGTGACTGAAGCAAAGGCTATTTACTCCAGGCGCTTCAGTCTTGAGGGCCAGGTCCACGCTGAAGGCGCCTTGGATTTGTCAAACACAGAGACTTATGCTAAACACTCTGAAAGAGCACACCCACTGATGCCAATAGATGGGCAACCGTCTGGTCCTACTCGACAGTCAGGGAACGGAAACCTTTCACGACTGCTTGCGAGATGCATGGTGCATGGTGTGCAATACAAGCAAGGCCGCGACGACTTGCGGTGCAAAGAATACTAATATGAAACTTACTCAAAACGTGACCTGGAGAGGTCCAGCGTGTTTTCCTGGAACGACATTGCATACTGCCAAGCCCAACACTACAGCAATTACACATGCTTGGACGTCATCGACTTTTCGAAATCGTTCACGGCCGCCGCAATTATAAGCAAGGGACTGCAATTCGGCCTTACCTTCATAGGACGAGAGCGACGAGGGCTTCCGAACGGTTGGGGGATGATGCAATCGCTCTTCCTCGGAGACGAGGGGTTCCTGGTCAATGCATGCCAACATGGGTTCTTTGTCTGGGCCTTTTACAAATATCATGGAATGACCGAGATAGATGCAGGATTCAAAGAGAAACGCGAAGAGGCAAAAAATATAGAGAGGGTCCTTGGTGTCGATGTTGGCCTGGCAATGACTGACTGCTTAATTTTCTGGCTGCTTGTGCTGTACACGAGGGGAAACAACGATAACACATCAGACTCAGTACCACCAGGCACCACGTGAGTCCATAGCCCTCTAGCAGTAGCCAAATGACGGTATTACCCTCATGTTTTTGGATTTAGTCTTGAGAATCAGAAAGCGCCTAACCACCTTTTCCTTGCTCGCTTGGAGTCTCCGAAAGCCTCATTCTTCCTTGGTCTGGAATAACTTTGAATTCAGTCTAACCGAACCCTTACCTTGAATCTCAATGGAGATTTTGCACCCAGTTAATTCAGGCTATAAATTATACACCGGCCTAAGATTCTATACTTGAGTGGAAGGAGAATGTATACAGAGATCGATATCTCGGAGCTTTTCTCTAGCCAAAGTACGAATTTGGATTACATCTAGACATGAAACCAAGCAGAGAATAAAATTGTTCCCTTTGGAATGACGAACAGAGTTTCGAGTTCTCTGGCATCAAGGCTCGAGTCTTAGCGCTGGAACAGGCTTTTCTGACTGCTTCCTCATAACTTCATCTTCTCAAGTACATCAACAACTTTCTCCACCATTGCTGCCACTGTCACTTGACCAGGACCAAGTCATGGAGGCTTCAATGCAGACTTCCACAGATAATCTGATGGTCGCTTGTCCTTTTCGACGGCACTCGATGAGCGGCGCAAACTGTAAGGTGTTTTCACGGATGTTAACGGAAGTGAGCAACTGACACTGACTGTGCGTCTAGTATCCGCAGCCTCTCCGTCACCCTCTCGCCCTATGAGCTTCGGGAGTTCCGTTGTTGGATCGATCAAGTGGACTTTCGCTGCGACTTGCCCAGCAGGATTCCGCTGGAGATCGCCTACTAGATTCTCGGATCCTTGGCTCGCTCCTACTACCGTAGAAGGGATGAATTCTTCCGGGGACGTTGTCGCGATACTATACAGTCGGTCGCAGGAAGACAGCATGGAGGAGAAGTTGGACGCTGAAGAGCGAGAAGTCAGTTGAGTGCCGCGTCAGGTTACACGTGTCATCATTTGAACAAGGTCCTCGGCATGACGTAAGGATCATGACCGGTATAGACACAGATTACCTTGTTGATTTCGAAAGATGGTTCAACCCCTGGGGCTTCTACTTCACAAGACCTTGGCTCGAGCTGGGCAGAGGTGATTCAGGTCCAATATTACCCACAGCAAAACCAATTACCTCTCAAGACGGAGCGATATCATACGATCGCTGTGGCCCTTGGACTCGCTAGACCTCTTCTTCCGGAAAGACGTTGCATACTATCAAGAGGGGTCCATGGCCAACTTATTGATGACCTGCCGAATCACGATATCGACTTTGCTGCTAATATGGGTACCGAGTACGATTCGAGATTCGACCAAAGCCTCGGACTGGCGAGGAGTAACCATCACCGAGAAGAAGTTGGTAGGATCTTCTTTCTTGGATGACGAGAACTTCCTGGTCAACGTTTGCAACCGTAGCTTCCTGTTTTGGTGCTTCAACAGAGGTACTATCATGGAAAATGAACACCAGTCTACGCACAGCATCGCCAGGACAAGATGCAGAAGCGCTTAGAGGGGCAGCAAGTTCAAGACGCAAAGGCGATCGAACGTATCTTAAGGCAGGAAGAAGGTGAAGGCTGCATGGCACTTGGAGAGTGACAAGGCCAAGGTCGACGATAGACTGCAGGAATGCATGAGATGCTGAGGGACTCTACGCTAACATTAACAACACTGGCAGACTTACAGCAGCAATGCGCACTAGATAGGTTCTTGACATAGGGTCATTATGTATCAGCCAACAATCTCAATGTAAATTGAGACTTCGGAAATATTTTGAATGAACGCACGTCTTACTAAGATCGGTTACTTTTTGCATGGTACTGTTATTGTAGTGCCTTCCAACTTGCTATCTTCACCGTGATCATCTAACAAACGACAGTAGGTCACATAGAAGCAGACACCGGCATGTCTTATCGACTTCTATCGCAAGAAGCGAAGGTGTCGCCTCTCCGAGCCAAATGCGGAGGTCGGAACGAGGGCTGTTGTTACGAGTACAGCGACTGCGGAGCTTAGTGTGCGAGCGCGATTTCCTCCTCACTGCTTCGGTAACACACCAGATTTTGCAAACACTAGAGAGACGGCCCAGATGTTTTCCAAGGCGGCGCCGCGTTTTTGTCCGGCGTCCGTCTAACGGCCTAGGACCTTCCTAGATAGGCATTAGCGTCAGATTCTCCTCCGTATGAGGCTTATCGAATCCGCATATAGTGGATACTTGAGTCTAGTACTACCCTTCACTCTGCATGGTATTTCAAGACACCAACATCGCTCCATTTACACCGTATCAATCGCGATGGCCGGCGGTGCTCCTGTTCCTGTTCCGACATCGGATCCCGATGAGAAGATCCTTAGCATTGCGGACCTGGAGAAGGCGGCTTCTACGAAACTTGGAAAGACTGCGAGAGGTAAATGTGAAGTTCTTACTATGCTTCGATTTTTGTGGCGCTGTCGTGGTATCTGGTCGACCTGTCTTATGCCTGCGATTGCATGAGAACGTTGGGAATGTGTTCTTGAAATCGATCACGTGGACGGGAAAAGGAGGAGGAGACCAACACTCTGCGTCATTGATATGCCGACTAGATCCTCTGCTTCGACAAAAGAGACATTGAAATTTGCGATGACTGCTTGCTTTCGTTCCGCGCATGATACACGCATTGACCGTTCTTGTGGTTTCAGAATTCTACAACTCCGGCTCGACGGACCAAGTCACTATCCACGAGAACTCAACCGCCTTCTCTAAATACCGCTTGAGGCCAAGGGTGCTGGTCGATGTGTCGGGCGTCGACACTTCCACTACCGCCTTTGGCCGCTCCATCTCATTCCCGCTCTCAGTTTCCCCAGCAGGTCTGCAGGCAATGGCTCACCCGGACGGCGAGCTAGGAACCAGCAAAGCATGTGCTAGAAAAGGGGTTAACATGGCCATATCGTCATTCTCAAACCATAGCATCGAAGATGTGAGGTCTGCCGCGGCGGAGATCGGACCCATAGACCATGCAGTACAATTGTACACGATGCGCGACCGTGAGCTCGAAGAACGAATAATTAGAAAAGCAGAAGCGGCGGGTTGCAAGGCTATATTCCTTACTGCCGATTCGCCTGTCTTGGGTGTCCGTTACAACGAGTGGAAGAATGACTTCAGAACACCCGAGGGACTTGGATTTCCGGTCATCGAGTGGACTTCCGAGGAAGTCCGATCGCGAACTCACGACTCGGGCTTCGTAGCCTTCAACGACGACTCGCACAGCTGGGCAAGGGATATTCCGTGGTTGAAAGCGAGGACGAAGATGCAGATTTGGATTAAAGGCGTGCTGACCGCTGAAGATACGGAGTTGGCGGTGGAGCACGGGTGCGATGGGATCATCGTAAGTAATCATGGCGGGAGGCAGCTCGATGGTGTGATGCCCACTTTAGATGCCTTGCCAGAGTGCGTGGAAGCGGCGAAGGGAAGGATTGCCGTGCACGTAGACGGAGGATTCAGGTCTGGGACGGATATTTTCAAGGCATTGGCGCTCGGAGCAAATTGCTGTTGGGTGGGAAGACCTGCAATATGGGGCCTCGCGGTGAGTATCTTCCCCCACTGGCATGATACTGGGAGTGGCATGCAACCCTGGTACTCGACTGATGTGTCAATGGTGATGTAGTACGACGGAGAAGCGGGGGTGGATCTTATGCTTGAGACTATGCATAATGAATTCCGCCGATGTATGCAATTGACAGGCTGCAGGACTGTTAAAGACATTAACAAGACTTGCTTGGCAAGAGTCAATGCTGATGGGATACTGAAGAGATTATGAGGTTTGCTTGAGATGGCCAGAGCAGAGGAGGCAAGACATTGATATTGCTGGCTAGTTCAGGCAGGCTTCCGATCAAGGGGGTATTTGCTATCATACTGAGCAGTAAGCCAAACATGATTGTCAGAACATGAAAGTTGCTTTCCAATAGAGACGTATATTGACTTTTTAGAGAATGAATGTCAGAACGAAGTCGTTGAAACACTACCACTTTCTCGAGAGCAACATTAGGCAAAGCATCTGATGGCCCTGAGCAAGGATACCATCGCGTTTATAAACGTGACAGATCCAGTCCAGTCGCACGTGCATTCCATAAATCGACAACATTTAAGTCTCAGCATCAACGTCCTTGGCCACTGCCACCCTTTTTGGCTATCTGCCTCATCCTTCCTAAGAAGAAGGCATGCGCGAATTCTGCACGACGACCTTTGAAGCCGATAGCAGCGGATCGGTTGTAGATTCGTTAAAAATAAAACTGTACGTGTGAGAGGCTGTTCGTTGATAAGCCGCTGGAGCAGAAAAGGGGTGCTCAGTGATGACTCTCCCTGTCAAAGACTCCGCCAAGATTTCCTTGACGTACCCTTCCGGAAGTGTAAAAGAAATTAGGATGCTCCGCTTGAGGTAGCCTCATTCGAAGAACGCCAACAATCCATCATGCTTAATCAGCAACACCTGCCAAAGTAATTGCAGGAGATCTATACAGATCCGCTACTCCCATCTCCAAACCACTAGGCTCGTCGAACATCTTAACATGCGCCTCTTTGTAAAGTGCCCGCTGCCACATAACATGCTCGACCCCTACAAGCATATTGGCAAGATCGATCCATTTCAGCCCTGGTACCATGGTCGAGTACGCCCTTATTTCAAGTCCAGTGTACAGTGTAGGGAGCGTCGTGAATACGTATGGGTCCGGAAACATGTAGACGTCACCATGTTTGAACATGGCGGCATGCGCGGCCGAAAGACATGCTTCTAGAGTGTTGCGCATTGGGGGCCCGTCGATGAGACTCCCGGTGACGATGACGATGACGATTTGGGTTTGCGGGATGCTGTAATGGATTATTTGGGAGGCGTTCAGGGGGTCGAGGTGGGTGCTGCTGGGATTTTGTCAGCATCCAGGCGTTCAATCATTGTATGTGAGAGTTTGAGACTTCAATCGCAGTGTGATGCCTTCTGAGAGAGCTTTGCTTGGTGGTTTCGTTGCTGGCAATGCTGCTATGAGGGAACTGAGCCACCCAACGAGAAAGAAATGCGCCATGAAAGCCTTCTTGAACATCTTGTTCCGCTCGATGAGATTTGAGGAGACTCCTCGACATTGAATTTACAGCGTAAACAGAGACCATCGCGGTAAACCTTGTTGCTTATATCAACGGGAGAGAGGTCGCTTCTGTGATCGTCAGATTCTAGATACTATGCGCTTAAACGGGACCGCGTATGCAGGGACTGACCCCCACGAAATTGACAGACGCGCATACACACACACTGCGGGGAACATGCACGTGAGATACTCGTAGGGAGGAGTGCAGCCCTTTGCTGGCGACCATTTCCGTCGGAGTATAACTCGCCAAGCTGAAGTTTCGACGATTCGTTTCAGGCGCGAAGGATCGACGGTGTACAACAGTACACATCGAGATTGCGAGAATTGAGCCTGGCAATCATGTGGGAATGAATGGGCGAATCCTCTGGTGACCAAGTCCACTAGAGCCTCAATCAGATGCGCTCCAAGGACTGTGGAAGGCTTTCCAGCGACACTGTTCACAGTTGTCTATCTTTCGAGTTGCCGGGCTCCTTTGAAACATCTCGCTGCGACATATTTTTCCCACCTGCTACCACTAAACCATTGCGGGTGGATCCCCGATGAAAAGTGAATGGAGTCCCTCGCATCGTAATGTGGCTCTAAATGCGGCGAAAGCAATTGGGCGCAAATAACTCTCAGCACATTGATATCTTGTCCGGACGGAAACAGAGATAATGTTATAAAAAAGACAAGACGAAAGGAAAGATGACCCAAAGGATCAGTGCCAAGACTGCTCGGTTGAACCTCGGACCTCATCAATAGCTGCTTCCATCGGATTTTCTCCTTTCAACCTCTCACGTGCTGTCGAAGTCTGTACCAGTATAAGAAGGTACCATCAGTGTGCACGGTGATGACACCGCTTCATTCTCCAACTCTAGTTCCTAAGATGAGCATGCCACGAAATTCCTAATGCGTAGCGGTGTGACAGCGCGAGGGCCCATACCAATCTTTCAACCATCACAATTGAGGGCCTGCGTCCGCCGGTTTGCGTTTAAGGCGAAGAACCGTGAGCAGATCGATTGGTACAAGAATGGTTCCCCTAATGGGGACAAGAACTTGGATCTACACGTTCGATGTGGCCTAGACCAAGGACCAACACTATGAGGATAAGGTGAATGCAGAGAGCGAACTCCAGCGATCCTTTTAGCAATTACATTGCGATGGGAACTTAGCCATGGGCTTTCCCATTTGCATGATATGTCTATGTTCTCTGACTCCAGTCTATCACCAGTTGCCGAGCTTGTCTCAGATCCCCGTTTAGCATCCACTCCTGCGGAACGCCTGACCCTGCAGGCAGACTCCCATGGTTATAATACCTCGGGCCGAAGCTGAAGCCTGCAAGTGCCTACGCATCTCACAGCAACTTCGTTGTCGTCCTCGGATGTGGTAACCACGCTGACGTCGTACTTCGCCAGTGGCTGCTCAATCGTCTCATTGACAATAATTCCCTTCTCTCGGTACCACGCTCTTGTAAGCCGCCCACGTATCTCACGGCCCACGGCGTTGTGGAGCTGGCTGGCGCCTTCCTGTGGATCGTAATGTTCTGCCGCAAGGTGTTTGGCAATTTGTCCATCATCGACGAAATCGAGAAAGATGTTTCGTAGGAGGTCGTTTGACTCGACGTTTATAGGCTTGCGAACTTCTTGCCATAGAGTGCGCATGAATTTGTAGGTGGCGACCGCCTGCTCACCCTCATTGAACGGTAGAAACGGCACAATATCTGTTAACCTTCTGGCCAAAGGCGATCCGAACTCTCTCTTGACAATCTGCCTCAATAACCCATTCAGTTCTTTGAAAGGAGCTTTGTCCTGCTGTCCTTCGCTTCTGTCCTTGAGATGGTCATCCCAGAACTTGATCATGGCTGGCACGCCCAAGTTTACCGCTAGGACCCAGATACTCTTTGAGCAATCCAGCGACTTGTTGTTGCGGCGATCAGTGTATTTTCCCTCAAATAGCAGAAGCAGTGATTGGCGTACATCTTCTGTGGTCTTGTCAAATTCGTCTAGGAAGATTACGTTTCTTGCACCAGCATGTTGCGCAAGGTGAGCGCTGAGTGGGGAACCCTGTTGCCATCCCTCATAACCGGCATGCATGCCCAATAAATCGGTACTATGGTGCAATACAGAGCAGTCTACCGTCAGGATCGGAAGCGATAAGAGATGACCGAGGCTACTGGCTAGCTCGGTCTTCCCATGACCGCTAGGACCCGTGAAGAGCAAGACGAGCGGTTGCGTGGTGCCGTATAAGAGACGACTGGCAACGGCTTCTTCGACCTGTTTAGTCGCTGTTGTTTGCCCTATGATGCGGTAGGGAAGCTCGAAAAGTGGCATCATGTTGTGGGCATGCGCAACCTGCTTCTTCCTACTCGTTGGCCGCTCAGTACGCTCGGCTTTCCAGAGAAAGTATCGCTGCATGAGGTTGAGGGTCCTACAAAGCGCATCCCGTATCTCTGCTGTACACCACTCGTCACCAACATTCTTAGCTAGCGAATCCTTAGGACCCGCATTCTTTGGACGCGCAACGTAGTCACACCACATATCCCGAGGTATGTCGTTGGGTATTGCACCCATCGATAGCAAAGCGATAACGGTGTCTGTCGTGTCCGAGAGATTGTACTCGGCGCTCATGATCGTATATGCCAATAGAGGCAATCCCGATGGTTGGGCCCTGGCACCTATATTTGCGCCTCTATGGCACAACATGTTCACGATTTCTCGAGAGTTTCGCTCTGCAGCAAAGTACAGTATTGGAAACCTATTCCCATCCTCTGAGGCTGGTGAAGTCGAATCCAGGAGCTCATTCTGCATCACAGACTGATCGTAGCTCCCAAGATAACGTTCGATGCATTTCGGATCCACATGTTTCTGAATTGCCCATGCCAGTCTATTCCACGAAAAGGAATGGCGACCTCTCTGGTGGTCGAGGAGTCCCTCCTTTTCGTATTCTTTGCAGCATGAGAGCTTTCCATTGAATTTGATATCTGGCAAGAAGAGTGGTAGAGCGCTAGGTTTCACACCTCATCAGGAAAGGGTCGGATGAGACCATTTTGGAGACTGACCTAGACACCATCTTGGCTTCTCTGGTACGAGGGTCTACGCTGTCCACGTTACGAAGTCTCCGTTGTGCAGCTTGTGCCGCGTTCACAAATGGAGGCGAAGATCCCTGCTGTGAATCATTATGGGCCATGAAGACTGGTATTGCGGCATCCAGTGCCTTAAGGGTTCCTGTTGGGAGCTACGTTTGCTACTGCTGCCTGGAATGGTCGCCTTTGTTCAGAACTATGTTGCTAGCCGTTAGCTGAGACATCGCCGCAGTTCTCCCTGCTATTCGTGCATAGAGAATTTCATTCGCTCTTCATTAGACAGAAAACTGACACAGCTATATATCCATTTGGTTTGAACTATGAGAGTCCCCAAGACTATGGACATTAGACAGCTTGCCGGACATTCAGCTAGTCGCCAGCCCTGCAGCCGATGTGGGTTGGGAAGCTCGACTTTGATTCTGTACCAGGTCCTCTCTTGTCGGGGTAGATCTCCGCAGACTAGTCATTCCTATTTGTCGTCACTACAAAGCCGACTGGCTAGGTGCGTTTCTTTCCTGAGATCCTCTTTTCTACCAGCCTTCATTCATCAAACTGGCAAGTGTGAAATGCCAAACCTTTTGCCAAAGAGCAATCAAAAGTTTGAGTAAAGGAGCCAAAGCATGCCGCAGAGTACGCGAGAGTGAACAGTGAACCATGCTGATATCGCTCCGCGGTTCGCTACAACGATCATAGCAGCAAGCCTCCCGAAACCCTGGCCCCATAATAACCTTGTGTGAGCTGTCTGATTGCTGCACCCTTGCCATATATCCTTCCGAAAATGTTTTCAGGCTTTTCCTTTGCAGACAGCGCTAGTTGTTCTTCCGCATTATAGGATTGTACCCAAGGGATCCAGCTTGTGATTAAGTCGCTTAGGGGAGAACGGAGCGACCAAGTAAATGTTGACGAGTGTATCGAAGCTCCGAACCACGCAAGTATCTCCTTGTATGCTAATCAAGAAGATCTCATCCCTTATAAGGAATAATCCTCGAGTACTTCATCCGAAGATGGTGAGACATCATATGATTCTGGCAGTGTCGGCAAGCTCATCTCAGCTGCCTTGCATAACGATTCTCTCAGATCCATTACCTCGGGCTTTCCTTGCTCATCCAGATGATTCTCCGTGTACGCTACGTCTTTCCACCGGATCATGTCATGAGCTGTCCCAGGCGGTGTCCCGCCCGTGTAGTCCATGGTCTACTCTTTTAATTCCAGGCGATCTTCCGCAGAGGAGAAAACGACGCGGAGCAAGAGCCAGGTATTGGGAATATCTCTCAGAGGTGATGGTAGATGGCGAATGTATGACCACAGTGTCACGCAGACATTCACCGGCGGCGAAAGCGTCCTACTTTCGCCATGTCTCGAGTAGCTTGTGGTGTCTGGATATTTAAATGTGCCCTTGCGAATCGACTTGACACCTCTACGAGAAGTACTAAGAAGTATTGACATATTCATAGGCTCGATGAACTATTGGACCAACCCAGCCCTGACCAAATTCGATTCGCCCAGGCCAGAACCAGCACTCTGAGTTTCCCTTGCGACCCTGCTAGCAGACTGCCCTTCGAACTTTGCAATCAGGTATTCCAGCATTTGGAAGTCTATCAGATTTTCCAGGCCCAGCGTGTTTCTCGTATATGGTCTAAGATATGATCCTCGCCAGAAGTTGTCAAGCCTCTAGCCCTGAAATCGTGGTTCAGCAACTCAGATATTCCTTCACGTACATCAAATGGCCGCTTGTAAGGGGCTCATATCTTAGCAAATGGTCTCACGCCGGGTGGCGAGACCTCCTGGCAAGCGGGGCACATAGACTCTTTGGGCAATGGTACCGCCTTTAGCATGGCTATTGGCAACTAGAAAACTCAATGGCGCGAATACAGCATTCTCTCCCACATTGATTTTGCTGGAAGCATACTTGCCGGGACAGATCGACAAACGGGCTGTATCCAGTTGAAATGTTTAATCTCTGGTAAGCGAGTCAGCCTTTCCATGCCAGTACAAGAAGACGTCCGGCAAATCGCAATTTCGGAGACCACCATCGTGGCGATGACTGTTTCTGGCAAGTGTTGCGCCTGGGACCTGTCCGCTGGCATAGGGAACATGGTGGGCCAATCACCTAAATGCATCGAGACACCTGTCATGGAAGTGCAAATTATGTCTGTTTCCAGAGGGACAGTTGCGATACTACACCGTGGTAGTGAGGAAATGATGGATGTCATTGCCTGGGATATCAATGTTTGCCAGTCGCATTGTTTCCGAATAGAGATCAACCAAGGAGCTATCCTTGGAACGTATAGCTACTTCGTGATAGTTACCTCAGGCGAACAGTCTATCGTCTTCTTCGAGCGGAGTTTTGACTTTGAGTCAGGCTATGTCCGTTACACACGAATCAATCTCAAAGGCCAAATTGAGTCTTCTGGCCGCATGGAGCATCCCGAAGTTGAGGGCTACAGCATACACTCCGAGGATATCAAACCTGTAAGCACGGCTGGGCATGTAACCCTTTGGTCATACTCCCGGAGCCTGCCACTGCTGGATGCTCGGGAGACCAAGAACAATACGTAGGAGATCATACACGTGGTCTACGACACGAAGGCTGACCGACTGGAGCTCCAAAGACACACTGTCGAAGACTCGATCCAGACGCGACTTGCCCGAAAAGATTTTTGTTGGTGGAAAGATGTGGCATGTTGTGACGACGAGACCAACGGATCTGGCGTCCTCGAAGTCCTCGATCTCAAGGCTTCGGTCTGTAAGAAAGCTGAGATGAGTGGTTCAAAACGTGTTTTGGAAAATCTAGAACGTTGCATAGATGAAAGACTCTGATTGGCCTTCGCGACACTGCGTTATTCCAGACGCACAACTACTTCTTTCTTGGCAACGAGAGCTTCTTGATCAGTGTTCGGTATGTGCATATTGACTGTCAGCACACCTCAATGAATGTTGCACGTCGTCGAGCACTGCTATTCGATATCTTCCCATAAAGTGCTTGTTTCCAACTCTGAACGGTGAATGCTAACTCGAAGATCCGTATAACCCTGACTGTTATATCGTCTGGTGCTTCGAAAATTCAATCTGGCCGGTAAACACAAAGGATAGGGCTATGATGCTGGAGAAAAAGAAAAATCGTTTCGAGGAAAAGAAACAAAAAGAGAAGGTTGAGGCAGGCATAACTTGCCCATGAAAATGGATGCACCGATCATGCTAGTGGGTGGTATGTGGGGCAGAGGGTTGACCTTAGACGTGGTTACGATGTTAAGAGCTTGGGAGCGCGGCAGGAAGGTCTTGGAGGCGCAAGGATACGGCGCAATGCAAAGAAGGCCTGTCACCTTAAGCTTGTGCTCTGTCTTGTGTCTAGCGAAATCATAGTTGTTCACACACATAAGAATGAATGTTTCCAAGTCACTTTTCTTTCAAGTTTTGAAGATAGGGATCAGAAACACGTGCATTGTCTACCAATTGCTTCCCAGTATACAGACGAATTTTGGCCATCCAAATCTCGAATTTGGTGTCATTTTCGATCTATTGCTCATCGGTTCTTTCTGGAGTGGTTATGCTGATTGAACTGAGCAGAACATCGCATTTGCATAGATTAGCGAGTATTAATTCCTGGTAAGAGTCTTGCCTGCAAAATTGTTCGATTAAACCATCTTAGTAGGACCCAAGCGCAGGAGGTCAAGTATAACTCGTCTCCTCAGAATTTTCCACCGTCTAGCCATTAGCTTTCTCTCCAACCGCCTCACACAACGCGGCGGCTTTCGGGACAGACCTCACAGCATGCCTTACTCGCCTCTCTCACATTTCATACAACGAGTCTTTTTAGGGAGCCACCCATGCAGATTCAGCTGCCTCAAAGGTCTGTTCTCGCCAGCAAGATATGCAACTCTCGATAAACGCACAGGGTCCTGACAACCAGCTAGGACGAATAAGTGGCTAGATATTAAATCTTGATACGGAGAAGAGGGGACTAACAGCAGAATCTGCAGAGATGGAGACGTGGTCGCTTGCGTACAAGTAGAGACCACCTCTTCAACATCCAGACGACTATTGACACTCTCTCGTCCTCGAAGACCAAAGCGGTACTCATGAACTTTGCTTTTTCCACAGATCGAAGTATTCATTCTTTTCTTCTGCCATCATCATCAATACAACGCCTTCCGATCAGTTTGCCAAAGCAGCCATGTTGTGAGCAAATGCTCATGCCGTAGACGCAGATATGGAGATACGCACTGTCAATGCGTTGAGAACCTTCGTCTAACAGTGATCAAAGACGTAAACCCGTGTAATACCGGTAGCGCTACACTAGCCGTACACGTAATCTATCACCGTTGCCGTATTGGCGAACTTTGAAAAGTTTTCATCAGATATTCAAGCTTTACGTACCGGTTTGCAGGTACCATACAACATACTTTCAGAGCGTTCTCACTCCGCCCTCAACACGTACACTCATTCACGCCGTGGCTAGATTGTGAATTCCCAGCCTGCCAATATCAACGAGCCATCGGCAGTCTTGGATCCTGCAGACTCAAGCTTGTTGATTGTGGAAATGGAAGATTCAAGCCAGGATGGCTGTCAAGCTCTCGTTGCCCTATTTCAAGGGTTGAATGCCAACGCGCTTCAGCGAAGAGCGTCAGTGTACCTTAGATGTCAGCGCATTGCCATATGTGCTGATTAAAGCCATAGACTCAAGGCCTTAGTCAAGACCCTAACGCACCAACAGCTTCGAGAACTACGCATCACACTCGAGGAGGTGGATTTACGCTGTGACATCATTGCGGAGCTTCCTCTCGAACTCAGTCAGGTCATTTTGCAATATCTGCCTCTCTATCAGGCATTCCAAGCTCGAAGAGTATCCTCTAAGTGGAAGCAGATTCTATCATCACCTCAAACAGTGGAATACTTACTCCGAGATTGGTTCCCCGCGCCTGCTGCCGACACAGCTTTGCATATTCCTGATGGCCTCTCTGAAAGCTCCATACTCTCTCTCAAGGCAGAGCACATCAACGCTTACCGTACTGGACACGCCTTCACTTACGCGAGCCACAATTTGAATTGCTTTCCAGACAATTCGGACCCCAGAACGGTGGCCGATCTTGTGGCCTATGCAGATGGTATCATGGCCTGGGCAGACACTACAGATTCCGGCTTTGTCAAATCATTGGACCTCAGGACAGGACAGGAGTGGTCGTTCTTGCCAGAGGCCAGAACTAGAGTAAACGCCATAGCCGTGTCTTCCTCGATGATCGCGGCTTTGGGTTCAGGCAGGTGCCATGTGTGGAAGTTTAGGGCAGGAGACCGATATTGTTTGAGGCTGCCATCCAACAAAGGACAAGAGATTGCCGTTTCGGGCGAGACTTTGGTTATTGTGACGAAGCTTTGGGAACCGACCATTGTTGAAGCGAGCTTTCGCGTTGAAGTTACCACTTGGACATTGAAAGATCAGAGGACATCCTCTTTTTGCGTGGCGTTACCTCCCAAAAAACGCGGGTATACGTTCGATTTTAAAAATATGTTAGACAACACAGGAGAGTCCCTGCTTTTGTTTGAGGGAGTCTACATTCCTGATCACCAACACGACAAGGCAACGCACTTCCACTACATCCGTACCAGCCTCGATGGAGATGTCCTGACTCAAGGTGTCCTCGAAGTCCCTGGCATACAAGACTGTCATGCTTGCTCTGACGATTTCGTACCTAAGGAAGCCAATGGACAAGCTGTGATCTGGTCATTTGCCAAGCGTCAGCGTGAATGTGACAACTTTTCCGAACTGATGCCTATCTCCTACAACTTCCGAGAAGATCGACTAGAATATCGCACGCAGGAAATCACGTGTCTTCGCATCACGAAACCCCAACTAACATCTCCTTTGTTCTACTGGAAGCACGCTGCATACATTCTGAACTCTGACCCTGACATACCTGTCTTGCGGGTCATCGATCTTCAAAACTCGACTTGTAGCGAAGCCGAAATGGGCTTCTCTATCAAGAATCAGAAGTTTGATCTACGACCCTACGAAGAGTACGAGCCGAACCCATTTCTTCTCGGCGATGAGATATTCCTCATCAGCGTCTTTGCGCATGGGTTTGGTGTGTGGTGCTTCGATGCGAACGTTCGAATATTTAATGAAGAGACCCGTTTACAATGATGAACGCAAGAGTAACATAGAGAGACGGCTCCTTTGAAGAAGGACGGAAGAAATTCCAGCTCCGATGATTTTGTTGCCCGCAATCTAGACTAGTCGTCTTTCGCGACATAGAAACAATACTGCCGCCATGCTCATTGTTCGACCCATCTCCAATATTGTTAACTCTAAAACTACTCAAGTGAATACCCACAGAAATGCTTGCCAATCTAGGTAGTCAGCTACCGAAAGTTGAAGAAAAAGCGTACATCCTTAAGCGAATCTTAAGGTCTCCTCTACTCAATCCTTCAAGAACTATATTCAAAATGGCGCAAAATAGCATTCTTTTGGTCGCCTCTCGGTGGGCTACCGGGCCCCTTTTTAGGGGTTTGAATTCCTTTGCGGCGTCCTGTCATGAAACTGTCAAAGTATTTCCGCTGCTCTGGAGCTTTCTTCATCCACTCGAACAGGGTTGCTTTGTCGGCGTAGGCGAGAGCAGTCTCTTCTGGGGGTTTGGGGACGCGGGGCCCGGTACGTTTGAGCTATTCGACTGTACTGGCGGCGGCTGGCATGACAGTATCATAGCTGAACTCACATCGTCAGCAATCTCGGTCCAGAAATTGCGCCAGGTGGTACAGAGAGGCACTTGACGCCATCCACAAGCCCTCTTGATGTGAATTCTTTGGTGACATCATTGGGCGAGTAATTACAAAGGCCGGCTCGTCGCAGACACCCACTACCGTGAGGGCGCGCATTATACAAACTGCATATTTTTGGCATACGTTCCCTCTTTTCATGTCGAAGCGGCGCCAACGTACCGACAAGGTCCTCTTTAACGTCTTGGGATTTGGCTATCTCTCGAGCGGTGATCGAGTCACCGTCAGTAGCACACACGGCCTCGAACAACGGCAACTCGACGGCTACACGCATGGCAAGGTTGATAGGTGGCTGCGGTTGGCAGATTAGGATTTATATCAGCATCATTTGCTTCTGGTATCTGTAATCATCGTGGAACTTGCTCACTTGGTACAATATTCTCTTGGCGGTTTCTAAAGGCTTCTCGGCAGCCAGGGTCAATTTCTGGATGCTTTGTAGCAGTCTCGCATGAGCCTCGGGGTCACATCCTCCAGCATCAGCCTCTGCCGCAGCGGCGACATCGTCTATGATACTGTTTATGGAAACCTTTGAGTTGGAGAAAAGATGTCCAAGCTCAGATCGGGAGATCAATGTTGACCCACGAAATCATTGTATTTCATCTGTCATTTATTTGGCTCCGCTCGGTCACAGTCCGCCGTCCCATTGCCTAAGCGGGGCGACGGGCCGAGGCCTTTCAGTAATCTTACTTGATTACTTTACCTTAATACGATGGCAGAAACCTGAACTCAGCTTTCGCTTAGCGATAAGGCTCAACATGGTGGGTGGCTCGAGTGGTGGAGTAAGTGGGAGGGTAGGATTGCATACCTTGCTGATACCTTAGTAGTACTGCCTGCATTATGCTACTGCCTATCTGATGCAAGCATCATGCAAGCCGCATCCATATGTGCATCACTATTACTACCTCGCAAGCATCTCTCAATCGATCCACATGATTCCACATTCCTTCACATTCTTGACCAATGACCATACATTCCATTTCGTGCCGTCCAGCCATCCAAGTGTGTCCTGACTCATGGCACTACGGTGGTGATGGTGGGTGTACTCGCGACTCGCCGCCATGGACTATTTTTCCTTACGATGGGAAAAGTTCTATCCCATTTCAGGGGTGTTGCTGCATCATACTCATGGGTACCCTCCCTCCCTTATCCCGGGGACGCCGGGTACCTGAATATCGGACTCGGTACCTTTTTAATTGAAAGGGGCCACCATGACTTCTTCTCATCTTGCGAGTCTTCATCCTCCTCCTTTCAACGCGCGTCCGCAGCGGGTTGAGGTCATGTTGTGGATATCATGTCTTCCGCGAATGACTTAAAGCAAGGTATCATACTGGATGCAGTGTCATGGATCTTCTTTGGCTTCGCCCTCATCGCTTGCTGCATGCGTCTATATGCCGATATCTTGATCCTCCGCTCCGCAAGACTGGATACTTATATTGCCTCTTCACCTTCGTAAGCACCTTAAATTCTTCTCCTAGTCACATTCCACGATAGAGCTTTCTAACGATTAACCTCAGCTCGCAGCCACAACCAGTCAAGTCTTCGCAACGTTGTCCGTGTATCATGGCATGGGCCAACACCTCAAGTCCTTAGACCCCGTACAAATTATGTACAGTCTCAAATGGAGCTGGATGGCGCAGATCTTCCAACTATTCGCCAACACGACCGGTAAAATCGCCGTTGTCACATACCTCACCACGATCCAAGGACCCAGCCACGCCAAAACTAAGCTCGCGTACTCTACCTGTGGACACTCGGCTCGCTCCAAATCGCCTCAATCATTCTCTTGATAGCCTTCATCTTAGCCCAGTGCTCGCCATTACGAGAATTATGGAACGAAGCAATTCTGGGTACCTGCAACGGTCGGATCAGGAACCAGAACTTTGCCTTCTTTCAAGGCAGTAAGCGATGGATGAATTGTGTTCGGGCAAAGTATTTTATGCTCATCCGATCCAAGTCTCTCTGCTTTCACCGACATATGCCTCGCAGTGTACCCGATAGTGCTTTTCTGGAGCCTGCAAATAAGACTCGCAAAGAAAGTGCTGCTATCTGTGCTTTTCGGATTCGGTCTGCTGTGAGCCGGCTCTACCACACCAATTGTCCCAGTGGTGAGACCTAAGCAAGATCATTCAGAGCGGCCGTGTCTTCTATCGTGAAGACAACCAACTTCCACCGCATTGGAATCACGATGGACATCACATGCAAACAAACAACCCAACTCCTCGATCCTCAGGTCCCAGCTTACCCCATTTGGCCAGACGATCTTGCATATCTCGTCACCTGGAATGCGTAAGAGCCCACCCCCACCGCCTTTCAAACCATTTTCTACATCTGACCACCCCACAGGGTCGACATGTACACTGTCTTCATCACCGGTTCAATCCCCACTCTTACACCTTTCTTCACAAAGTATTTTCACAAATCCACCATCTCAGACTACCACCGCTACGACCGCCGCAACGCGCGCCTCAACGGCGACGACGGCACCACCCTTACATCTTCAGGTGTACCTCCGGGCCGTAATGACAGTATCGAGGAGAATTGGATGGGGGACAGGCATATTTTGATGACGACGAAGATTGATATTAGGAGGGATGAGGAGTTGGAGCGGGTTTCGCCGTAGGGTCGGTGCGCCTAGGCACATATAGTATAACAATTTCCGAGTAACCTCGGGCACAACAGCTACGAAGAAAGCCTCTCCCTTGGTATCCCATCGTCTGGCGCCGGGGGTGCACAATGTCTCGGCTGTTGGGCTGAGCCATCAATAGAGTCGAGTCTACGAACACCGGAGCCACCTGGTCCATTAGGTCTAGTTCTGTATAGCAACGGGTCCCGGGGATGTCTGGGTAAACCCATCGATCTGTCTACGGACTTCAAGCGTATCATCTACGTAAAACAAGTGACCATTTGACACCACGAAAATGACCGCCCGAAAGCTGCTCTCTAGAAGTAGAATTGCTGCCGCTAATATCTCTCTAAATACAGAAGCATACCTAAGTGTCAAGACTCATTCACCAACGCCTGCACAGGGCTGATACTGATCACACCAATCCTTCTCATACTTCCCGTGAGACCCGGATCTAAGACCTCAGTCACAGCGCTAGCTGCGTGATTGTCCGTATACAGAAATTTGTTCAACCCTTGCAAAGCGTTCAAAGTAATCTCGTACGTCAGGCGGTAGGGAATAGATTGTGTTCGTGTCCTCTGAGATGTTACACTCATTATACAATTCACATCTTCAACCACCGGCGTTGCATACGGATCATCGGCAGGCAGTAGAGATATGTCGCCGTGAATGCGGATCTGGCCATTCATATGAGTGCTCGCCGCGGCGATCGTTTGGCGTATGCTGTTTCGGTCTATAGGTACCACGGGGCAGTACAGTATGATGAGAATCGTCGTTGTATAGGGGATGGATATTATGTGCCTTTCGAGATCCGAGTTTTTGTTGTTCTTAGAGCAGAAGCTGCTGGACAGACTGAGAAAACGCAATCATTAGAGCTCACTTTTTCCCTCATACCTCGCAGAAGCAGGCCTACGTACTTTGAGGTAGCGTTTTGCACGCTTGGAAGCACGTCACTAAGTTGAACGATAGAGGTACCTGAATCAATTCTCGCACCTACCGTAGCAGGCGCCATCTTGACGAGGGTTGCGTTTAGGAGCAAAATGCAGATACTCGCAATTGTACCACGCATGTTTGCAATGAGCCAATGTAGTGTGCTGAAGGTGGAAAAAGCGTAGGTCACAGCAGAGGTCTTGGTCCTTTTGACCGTTCCCCAAATGTGTCGCAATTAAGGGAGGACATTACGCGACGCGGTCTAATTGCGAGTATCCAAGAACACACGACATGCGACTGGCGAAAAATGGGGCTATTTTGCCAGTTGCGCAGAGGGAGCTCGGGGACAGTTACCCTTCCGACTTTGGGTTGAATACGGAGTATGAAACGATGGCATAGATATACCAATATTGCAGTCCATAACCGAAAAAGTATTCTCGAAGAACCCCTACAAGTACCTGCCTGCTATTCGTCGAGCAATACTGTATGAAGTGATCTCGCAAGAGTGCCACTCAAACATGCACGGACGTCTGAAGGCTTGCGAGGTGGTCCCGACTGCCTCGCATCTCGTACAGAAGAGCTTTATGTTTTCTCAATGTTTTGCTCACTCAACATGCAATGATGTAGCATCAAGGACCGTTCCGATGTGATTTCCCATATTATGTTCCACAATATCAATATCTTTTCAAGGAGCCCGACAGAAAAACAGCAACTGGCAGGGGTAGGAACCAAAATGACAAAGCCTCCCCGCGACAAGCTGTAATTTTCAAGATCAGTGGAACAAAGCCTGTACACCTCAAGATCTCAGAGCAGGTACGACGCTCCCATTCAGGAACCTTTAGCTTGCTGAAGCTCCAGCGGCAGAGTGGCCACTGTATCCTTGAAAAGCTGACCGGCTTTCTGCCTATGAAGATCCCAGAGTCAGCATTACTTCATCAAGGCGAGAACCCGAGCAATGAGACTGTTTTAGAAGGCATCAAGAGCCTGCTGCTCCTGTGTATGTCTGGCAACGCGACAAATCCTCCGGACTTGGAAGCATAGGCTCCGGAAATGTCAAGAGCCACTCCTCGTTAAGCCTCCACGCGCACTACGTGAAAGGCAAAGCGGCCATTGGCCATTGACTGATCACCTATAATCGACTACCTGTATTGGTAGCAAGCTGCCAAGCGCAACGTATGCTCCACATGCATTTCCTGGACGGGCATGAAGGTAACGAAGGAGTGGCTACTGACGCCAGAAAGTGCTTTGATTTAAACAAAAAGGAATAACGACTGACCCGATGGAGTACTGATTTCGGTTCCGTCAGTGGGATCATTATGGTTGCTGCTGGGTCATGTCGATGACGTGCTATCTGCAACGTTTGCTTCATTCGCTTCGCACCTCACATGATAGTGAAGCATATATGGACAGCAGACGTGTCATGTCTTCTTGCTCGCTAGCTCAATATTACTCTACTCCCCCGTCCATACATAGTCTCGTTGATATCCTTCGCTTATTCAGATTCGTAGATCGCTGTCGTAGGCTCTCCTCGGTTTCTCTCATAAGATCTCATCTGCGCTTAGCAGAGCACATTCTCAGACCAGTGACTAACATTGCTCGTGCCGTTCACCACATTTATTTTTCGCCAATTCACATACCCAATAAACCCTCCCGCATCCACTCAGCGTCATGCCGGCCCCTGGAGTACAATGAGACGCCAGCCAACCATAAGTCTAGAATGCCAAAAGCCAAGGAATAGTCCAGAAATAGGAGGGAGTAGGCCGATTTAGAGGACGAAGATGACGACGAAGAGGGACGGTATCAAGTCACTCGCGGTTAAATTACAGTCAGCGATCTATCTGAACGCCGAAAGTGGAAGAAGAGGCAGGAAACGACTCCCAACCATCTTTGCCTTGCCTACATCCTGGTGCGGCAGCAGCGGTCCGTCGTTATTCAAAGCGGATCTTGCCTCTTCAGCTGAACTTGAGTCTTTCAGGATCCTACCTACCCTTCCCGGTCCCTCCGCTGACGAAGCTCCCGCAGTGAGTCTCAAGAAAGCCAGGCCAAGCCTAGCAACACTTCGACAGCTTGGCCCGCCAAGAAGTCCGCCGCGCGTGTTCGCCGGCGTCTTCTCCCGCTGTCTCCTGTACGAATATCTTTTTTACGAAAATATGAACCGGAACTTTTGTAGGCAGTCATTGTGAAGACCGCTCATCGACCGCATTGGGAATTTATGTGATGAAGGCAGCCAAGACCAGAGAGAGGGCACGTGGTGGAAATGGAGAGGCATCAAAGAGAAAGTGGGGAGAGGTTTCCGATGGAGACGACGTGATCGCAACGTCCAAAAAGCAAGGATACGCGCGTTCTGGGAGAAGTGCATCGAGAAATAGAAAGGAGGCAGGGTTAAATCAATACTGTTCTAATCTTGATGTGATTGCCACCAGCAACAGTAGATAAAGGAGGAACCCTGCCTTTCTAAGGCCTTCTTTTTTACGCTGTTCCGAGAGGTACCTTTGTTTCGTGTATGTCAATGATTAAAAGCTTATGAAGGTTCAGACCCAAGTAGTCACTGCTCTTGGTCACAAGATGGGTGCGAAACGAGTACCCTATCAACCTGAACCTTGCGGAGACGAGGCTAGAGATCTCGGCGCGACTCTTATCTAACTACTTAGGGTCTAGTCAAACGTTAGGGTCACCCAACTCATTCCTTGGCCTTCTGATCCACGTTTAAGTCACAGTATCATTATGCCCTTCATCCTCGTGTAAGTCATTACAAGACTATGTCTTCCTACCCAAGGCGGTATCATGGATGATCGCAGCATCGGACGTACAGACCTTGTCTCTCCGATCTCCGAGCCAAACAGCCCTGATCCTGTCCTCGAGTCCTATTTCCGCCAGCAGCTTGAGCAGCTATATGCGGACCCCTCTCAAGCATTGGCAACAAATGATGGAACCGAAGTAGACCAAATCCGTGGAGCTAGCGTTGAGCAGGTCCAAACCGAAGACAGGGAGGAATATGATTTTCGTTTGTTCACAAGACCACACGCGTCAGGAACGGCATCGGTCGGGGCCAGCAATGGTCCCCAGCGGATTGCTATAAGATCACCAAGCCCTGCGGGTGGTGAATCGGGTTTCACCAGTGCAGGGCGTCCAGACAACTACTATTTTGCGGGTGATACAGGTGCAGAGCTCGCAGAGCAGTATGCACGAGCTGCAGTCTCTGGCCAAGACATCGTTGAGGGTCTCAAGATGAGATGGGTATGTCGCTTTGTGCTAGATGAGAGATGGGGACCTGACCTTTGGTACAGAGAGGCATGGAGCTGCCGTGGCGAGTCACCGTCATCAAGACGACAAAATCCGGCAACGTGGTGGGGCTAGAGCATCAATTGCAAGCACAGACCAACAGGAGGAAGCGCAGTGGGAAGAAAAGGCGGGTTGTGATCCGGAAACGGGTTGAGGCAAGAGCTGCCAAAGAGGTGGTAGCTAGACAATGCCGGGCAGAGAAAGAGGCCGCTGAGCGAGAGAAGCGAACACAGAAGAATAGAGAGAAGAAAATTAAGAAGAGGCAGAAAGACAGGCTGAAGAAGGTGACCGATGTGCAGGATTCTGCCTGAACTTATATATTGGCCTCGGGCCATGAGAGCTCTTGCCTTGTGTGGCATATTGCCCCTCCCTCTGCTGTCACCCACTTCTGGAAACCGCGTCCAACAGAAACATTCTGATTACTTTCCTTGCTGGATACATGTTCTCGATTACAACACACCACATCTGACCATCCTTCGATTAGTATAGCCACAGAGCTCGATTATAACCCACAAGATCCGAACATTTTAGGAATATAGTATTTGCACAAAGCTTCACCATGTCCTGCTACGGTCACAGCAGCCCCAACGCCGTCGTCCTACCAAACTACGGGCCTTGCAACCCCCAAGCAGGCAGCGTCAGTCTCTGCTGCGAAACCGGCCAAACCTGTCTTACCAATCGGCTCTGCGTGACGCCCTCTGGGGTCTATTACAACGGTGGCTGTACAGACAGTACGTACAAGGCGGCAATCTGCCCTACATTCTGCACCTCGGGTAGGCACTCCGCTGCCGATATGTCTCTGGTAAAGTTAACGTTCGTATCAGGCGATGCCAATTGGGTGGTCGAATGCCACGGCTCTGCGGTCAAGAACGGAGACTTCTGCTGCTCTGTCAATGGGACGAGCAGTAGCTGTTGCAATACCGCCAGCAATGGCCTAGGTCTTGTTGCTGCTGTCTCTTCGGCTGAAGCAGTGTCTGCAACATTTGTTGGGGCAAGCATTGGTCCAGCATCCATCAGCAGTGGCGCCACCACTTCAAGCTCCGGAAGCACCACGGGTAGGCATTCCACATTTGTGCACCAGTTGGGACTTGCATGCTGATAGATGGCAGGTTCTTTCACAGCTACATCCCTTCCGACGGCCACTCCCCAACCCTATGTATCCACAGGTATGCCTCGGAACAAGAAAATCGACATCGGAGTCGGAGTCCCATCTGGGATGGTGGGCCTCGTTGGCACCATTCTTTGTGTCTGGTGGTGCATCAAACGCGGACGTGGACCTCGCGGACCTCGAAGTACCATCGTTGAAATGAATGATCGACGAGGAGGAAGCGATAAATCCGATCCTCGAGCACAGCCCACAGAGGGTGTAATCCCGACCGAGATTGAGGGCTCACATCTCCGTGCCGAAGTCGAGGGCTCACCGGTTGGTCCTGTCGAGATGGATGCGAATCAAACCCACGTTGCCCCCACGAGTCCACCACCTTATGCCAATGCTGTGGCTCCAGACAACAATCCGCTTCATGAGCCTTCGGCCACGCCTGGGTCATGGTACGCACCGAATATGGGCAATCTTTAGGCTGGCTATCAGGGCAGGCGCTGGTATGATTTGGGAGGGCTCGGCACAGATTGGCTATGGATGGGTGGAACACCGCTGTAGGGAGGCCGCGAGTTGCTATGAGTCGAGGCATCATTCCGCCTTTCTTTACGTGTATCTTTCAAAGACAGAACGATGATAGACTCATTGACTTGTCAGTCAGAACCAATTAAAAGACATTGTTATTGACCTGGCCCCTCTGTACCTCACCCATATACATCCCATCAGCCTCGACGCATCCCCCTACGCCTCATTAACATAAAACCCATTCGCCTCGACCTCCCTAACCCACAAACCCCAGGGCCTACCCATAGTATCCTGCCCCATCTGCCTACAATCCCCCAACTCCCCATCCCCCAGCCAGCGAACCCCCTCATCCCGCACCCCCTTCTCCCTCTCCTCCCTCCCCTTGCCCCTCTCCACCGCCCCCATCTGCGCATTCCTCAACACCATCGCCGTCGTCTGCACGCCCGCGTTCTGCTGCGTGTACACGGCGCGGAACACCGCTTCCCGCACGTCGGACCCCACGGCGGTGAAGCCGTGCCCGCGCATGAGCACGACGGTGTGGTCGGGCCGCGGCTCCGCGTCGCCGCCGTCTTTGGAGAGGAAGCTGGAGGCGAGGGCGCCGACGCGCGCGACGTAGCCGTCGGGGTCGGAGAACGCGGCGGCGAGGGCGGCGCCGAGGTGGGTGGTCGTGATGAGGAGGTCGTGGGTCGAGGTGCGCGTGTAGTGGGTTGCGACGTCGAAGACCGGGACGCGGGTTCCTTTGCGAGCGATATCAACGTCGCGCGCGCTATAGATACGGTTGGGTTGGAGGTCATGTTGCATCCGTGGTTTGGATGGTGGCAGGTTGATGGGGAAAGGTGTGGGAGGGGGGGGGGAAGGGGGGCAAAAAGGTGCCGGCGTGCTACGTACCCAGGAACCCGGCCATGTGGAAACAGGGCTTCATCTCCACCCCGCTGATGCTGTAGGGGAGGACGGCTTCGGAGTGCGAGTGCACGACGCTGTTGACGCCGGGGTACTTCTTCAGGATCTCGCTGTGGATGCACCGTTCCTTGTACCCCGCCGCGGCGTCTTTGTTCACGGGGGAGGCGTCTTCGATGCTGTATTCGAGTATGTCGGAGGGGGAGGAGACGAGGGCGGGGGCGACGTTGTGCGAGAGGAAGAACGTGTGGGGGTTGTCGGGGTTGCGCAGGGAGATGTGGCCGTAGGCGTCGACGACGCCGTGGTGGTGGAGGATGTGGTTTGCTGTTATGAGATCTTTGAGGGGTGAGGGGTCTTTGGAGGCCATGGTCGTTTGCGCTTCGTTTGTGTCTTTGTGCCTTGGAGTCTGGGGGGTGGGATATTGACTTCTACGGTAAACGGGCACTTGGGGGTTTTTGATGTCGAGGTGATTGATGTGCTAGATGACTATGTCATGACCGAGATTCACCGAGGAGTCTACATTGTAAGGCGCACCACATCTACCCAATGGTATTGGAGTGTAGATTGGAGAGATGCGGTATGAGCATGGCATTCGCGTAACATAACATAATATGGGCAGAAACTCCAAGAGTCTCCTCCTCCAGTCACAGACAGTAGCACGGGGGTGTCGAGGGTGTCAGATCTCGTCGTACACCCTAACAGATTTGGGGAAGCGGCTTGGCCCCGGGTGTACGACGAGATCTGACACCCCCGTGAGTAGATCCGAGGGGCCGTCGGTAACTCCGTAGCCGTTGTCAGGAGGAAAAACAGGCAGTCGGATACGGAATCATTTTGCAGCAACAGAATCGGACTGGAAGACGACCAGGAATGAGACGAGATGAAGATCCCTTGAATCTCACTTATGACCACAGTTTGTTTCTTCAAGCCTTTTTATGCAAATGATTAACGGAGTTCCAGACATCCGAACCGAGCCTTGGCGTAAGGTAAGCAGGAAGCACATGGGACTGCTAAGCTGCAAGCAGTTACTCTAACGCTAGATCGGTATGAAGCCCGAAAGGTATCGACACTATAAGTACAATATGCAATACATGGATACATAGATAGCCGGTTGCGTAATCGCTTTGAGAGGAATACTCAATACTTACTTACTCTACCAACCTCTGCAACAGTCCCCTAACGTCCGTTCACGATGACCTCGCCTAATGTACTCCGTACTTACTTTACTCTTACTCTTTCGGGTACCTTAGTCCCCAGCCTGAAATGATTAGTCAGCACGGCTAAGGGTCTCCCGAGGACCGAATGCCATCGGATAAGGTAAGGTAGATATGGTATTAAAGCACCGTCATGCCTAATCCTTTTACTTAGGCAACGAATCCGACGAATCTGACAACCAACTCCTTCTGCCTCAATCCTTCCATAGCATGACTCTCCTTATTCACACTTTCGACAACGAATAATCACCTACAATCTCTTCAATTCCGCTCACGGACCCCATCTCTACTCCCCTCAAAGCTCCCGATGACATCCGCGGGGCCATGGGGGGCCGTCCCTCAGGCACAGGGTGTCGCCCAGATGTTCGAGAGACAAGCTGAGAAGGTCGAGGATCACATACCTCAGCAAATTGAAGACAAATTACCATTCGGTCAATCAAGTTCTTCTACCGCAACCGACACTTCCAGCGACCTCGACAAAGATACCGCCGCCGAAGAAGTCACCAAGCTTGTCCGCAAGCTCACCCAACAATCGAGCGGCGACGACGAGCTGGGGAAATCCCTCACCGTACGGTCTGTCAAGACCGATGGAGGCAATTACCGGAATCCTTTCTTAGATGCTAGTGATCCTACTCTCGACCCAAAATCTGGACAGTTCAAGCCGGAAAAATGGGTGCGGACGTTGGTCGGCCTCCAGTCCCGCGATCCCGAGAGGTATCCTCAGAGGGTAGCAGGAGTATCCTACAAGAACTTGAACGTGCACGGTTTCGGTAGTCTTACGGATTACCAAAAGTATGTTGAGGACAAATGTATTCAATCATCGCTAGCTAATACGATCCATTTCCAGGACATTCGGCAATTATCCTCTCGAGATCGGCTCCATCTTTAACAAAGTCACGGGACGAGGCAAGACGAAGATTCAGATATTGCGGAACTTTGAAGGACTGGTCCGCAGTGGAGAGATGTTGGTTGTCCTTGGTCGTCCCGGCTCCGGATGCTCTACGCTACTCAAGACCATATCTGGGGAAACTCATGGCTTCTTCATCGATGAAAAATCGGAGATCAATTATCAGGGAATTCCCAAGGAAATGATGCATAAGGACTTTCGGGGCGAATGCATGTACCAAGCCGAAGTCGACGTCCATTTTCCCCAATTGACTGTTGGACAAACCCTCAACTTCGCAGCACAAGCGAGGGCTCCACGCAATCGGATCCCAGGGGTCACTCGTAAGCAATACGCCGAACATATGACGGAAGTCATCATGGCAGTCTTCGGCATCTCACATACCTACAACACCAGGGTTGGCAATGACTTTGTCCGCGGGGTCAGCGGAGGGGAAAGGAAAAGAGTCAGTATTGCGGAGGCGTTAATCGGCGGCAGTCCTCTCCAGTGCTGGGATAACAGTACCCGTGGCCTGGACAGCGCCACTGCTCTAGAATTCGTGAAAACTTTGAGGTTGTCAACAAGCCTGGCAGGATCGACTGCTGCAGTGGCTATATACCAAGCTTCCCAAAGCATCTACGACATATTTGATAAGGTGGTCGTTCTGTACGAGGGTCGCCAAATCTACTTCGGCCACACCACCGCGGCAAAGGAGTACTTTGTAAACATGGGCTTCCATTGCACCGAAAGAGCTACCACCGGAGATTTTCTCACGTCGTTGACCAATCCAGGCGAACGAGTTGTTCGAGCGGGTTTTGAGCATCGCGTTCCGAGGACGCCAGATGAATTTGCGGCCGCCTGGCAGAATAGCGACGCCCGAGCTCGGCTTTTGCAAGATATCGAGAACTTCGAGCGGGAATTCCCCTTGGGCGGCGAGCAGGTGCAGAAGTTCCAAGTCTCTCGCAAAGCAGCGCAGGCGAAGAGGCAGCGCGTCAAATCCCCGTACACTCTCTCTTTGCCCATGCAGGTCAAACTTTGCATGGGTCGAGGATTTCAGCGGCTTCGAGGAGACATGAGTCTGTTCTTGTCCGGCGTCCTTGGCAACTCTGTCATGGCTTTGATAGTCGGCAGTGTCTTCTATGACCTTCAACCCAACACCGGCAGCTTCTACTATCGAAGCGCCTTGCTCTTTTTCGCCATCTTGCTTAGCGCCTTCAGCAGTTTTCTCGAGATTCTTACGCTCTATGGGCAACGGCCAATCGTCGAGAAGCAAAGCAAGTACGCCTTCTATCATCCACTGTCAGAAGCAATTGCGGGAATAATCGTCGGTTTGCCTGAAAAAATCATCACTTCGATCTTCTTCAACCTCACACTTTACTTCCTGACCAACCTGCGAAGGACTCCGTCGGCCTTCTTCATCTACTACTTGTTCTCCTTCGTGGTAGCCTTGACAATGTCCATGGTGTTCCGCACCATCGGAGCTCTGTCACGCACTCTCGCCCAGGCTATGGCTCCTGCTGCCGTGTTCATCTTGGCCTTGGTCGTTTACACTGGCTTCGTGGTTCCTGTAATAGACATGCATCCTTGGTTCCGCTGGATCAACTACTTAGATCCAGTGGCGTACGCTTTCGAAGCCTTGATGATCAATGAGTTCCACGACCGCCAATTTGCATGCACCAATTTCATACCCTCAGGTGATGCTTACAACGGCGTTACCCCGGACCAGCGTGTGTGTAGCACTGTGGGTTCCGTTGCCGGACAAAGCTATGTCAATGGAGACACTTACATCAACACCAGCTATGCGTACTACCATTCACATCTGTGGAGGAATCTCGGTATCATCTTCGCAATGATGATAGGCTTTTGCGCCATGTACCTAACAGCCACGGAGTTCATCTCATCTCAACGCTCAAAGGGTGAAGTGTTGCTGTTCCGTCGTGGTCAAACCCCTGCCATAGCAAAGAATGGCGACGAAGAGGGCAATGTTGATGATCGCCCCACGGCTCAGGGCACTATTGCTGAGAAGACCCTGTCAGGTGGTGATGTCCCTCCGAGCATTCAAAAGCAGACGGCCATCTTCCACTGGCAAGCTGTCAATTATGACATCAAGATCAAAGGCGAACCAAGAAGGTTGCTTGACGACGTAGATGGCTGGGTAAAGCCTGGGACTTTGACGGCCTTGATGGGAGCTTCAGGAGCGGGCAAAACAACATTGTTGGATGTACTGGCCAGTCGTGTCACCATGGGCGTTGTCAGCGGACAGATGCTAGTCAATGGACGTCAACGAGATAGTGGGTTCCAGCGAAAAACCGGATATGTTCAGCAGCAGGATCTTCACCTTGCCACAACTACTGTTCGCGAAGCTTTGAACTTCAGCGCTCTACTGCGACAGCCGAAAACCACACCAAGGAAGGAAAAGCTCGAATACGTCAACGAGGTGATTAAGGTCTTGGAAATGGGTCCTTATGCCGACGCCATTGTTGGTGTTCCTGGCGAGGGACTCAACGTTGAACAGCGCAAACGCCTCACAATCGCAGTCGAAATGGCTGCGAAGCCTGCGTTGCTTCTGTTCCTTGACGAGCCGACTTCTGGCCTCGACTCCCAGACTGCATGGGATATTTGCAAATTGCTTCGGAAGTTGGCAAGCAATGGCCAAGCCATTCTATGCACTATTCACCAACCTTCAGCAGTCCTCTTTCAGGAATTTGATCGTTTGCTGTTCCTTGCAAGTGGCGGTAGGACCGTTTACTTTGGAGACATAGGACACAGTTCGAAGACTTTGACTGACTATTTCGAGCGCAATGGGTCAAGGAAGTGCGGCGTTGAGGAAAACCCTGCCGAATGGATGTTGGATGTCATCGGTGCGGCTCCAGGGTCACAAAATACGATTGACTGGCCTCAAGAATGGCGAGACTCGCCTGAGAAGCAGGCTATCAGAGACACGCTGGCAGACATGAAGCAGAGGCTCTCCAAGGAGCCAGCTGACAAGGATCCAACAGCATTGCGCGAATTCGCCGAGCCTTTCAACGTTCAGCTATACGCCGTTACCAAGCGTGTATTCGAACAGTACTGGCGGACGCCCTCTTACCTGTACTCCAAGACTCTTCTTTGCGCGGCCTCGGGGCTCTTCATCGGCTTCTCGTTCTGGGATGCTGCCATTAGTCTCCAGGGACTCCAAAACCAGCTGTTCTCCATCTTCATGTTGATGACCATTTTCGGCAATCTAGTCCAGCAGATAATGCCCCACTTCGTCACCCAGCGCTCTCTTTACGAGGTCAGAGAGCGACCATCCAAGACGTATTCATGGAAAGTCTTCATGCTGTCCAACATAATCGTCGAGCTGCCATGGAACACTTTGATGGCCATTATCATCTTCTTCTGTTTCTACTATCCGATTGGCATGTACAAAAATGCTATCCCCGACCATCAAGTCCACGAACGAGGGGGGCTGATGTTCCTCTTTGTCTGGGTTTTCCTGCTCTTCACTTCAACCTTCACCGACATGGTCATAGCTGGTATGGACTCGGCGGAGACCGCCGGCAATGTCGCCCAGCTGCTCTTCTCTTTGACATTGATCTTCAGCGGGTAAGCCTCAGATCCTTTCACTGCCTTCCTGAAACCCATTACTGACAACCCTTCCAGTGTCCTCGCCGGTCCCACCGCTCTCCCAGGCTTCTGGATCTTCATGTACCGCATATCCCCTTTCACCTACCTAATTGACGGCATGCTCTCCACCGGCCTGGCCAATAACGCCATCGTCTGCTCCTCCATTGAACTCGTCAAATTTAACCCTTCCCCCGGCCAAACATGCGGCCAATACATGTCCACCTATATAAACCAAACAGGTGGTTACCTCACCAACGACGACGCCACGGCGAATTGCGAGTTTTGCTCCGCTGCCACCACCAATGTCTACCTGACACAGCTCAGCTCGCAATACTCGACCCGATGGCGCAATTTTGGGATCATGTGGGCGTACATCATCTTCAACGTTTTCGCCGCATTGGGGCTGTATTGGTATGCTAGGGTCCCGAGGAAGCAGAAAGTTCAAGAAGAGGCGCCGGTCGATATGTCGAGAACGCAGACGGCGGCGTCGAGGGTCTCCAGGGTGGCGACAAACAACAATGAGAAGTCTGCTTGATCTTTGGCGTCAGGAGAAGCCTTTATATCTTCCATATCGCGCTGCGGTAAGGGGCGCCGAAAAGGGCAGGCGATCTTAAAGGAGCTGACCCCGTGGGCGTCCCCATAATGCATATAACACCGGGCACGCTCACCTGCTGCCCTCCTCTTCTTGGAAAACTACGTTGTAGAATAGAATTTACATGATCTCCCTTCCCTTTCTTTCTAACAAACTACCCTTTTCTTTCCCCCTCCCCCTTTACAATATCGCAGACCCGGAATCCTTTCCTTCTTTCTTTCTTTCTTTCTTTCTTTCTTTCTTTCTTTCTTTCTTTCTTTCTTTCCTTCCTTCCTTCTTCCTCCCTTCCGTCGCACCCATCATCGAGGTGTCATCATCGTCGCCCATCCGAGAGCGATGGATCGGCACAACGCGAGCGATGTAGGTCGTTGTTGTACTGTGTAGGTAGGTAGATGGATGGTATCGGATCTATCCATTCATCATCGCTTGTGGTTGTGTGATGTGATGAGGCTGGATTGGACTGGGTTGGGTTGGGATGTGATGTTTTTTTCTTGGGGAATGAAGGAAGGGGATAGGGAGGAGGGGAAAGGATGGAGGTGTGCGGATTGGATTGGGCTGGGTGGGGATATGGGAAGGAGAGGGGAGGGAAGGGAAAGGAGAGGGGAGGGAAAGCAGGGGAGGCGTTGGTGGTAGATATTTCATGTGGCAGATGATAAGATGGATTTGGAAGAGCTATATCGACAAAGATCCTATCCACCCATCCCGATCGTCATCCTTTCCCATTATGTACCCCAGCCGCACCATCCCCTGCAGACCGATCAAACCACACTTCCCTTCCTCTCCACATCCTCCACGATTTCCGGCGCCAGTGTCCCCTTATCCGTGAGACCCATCTCCGCGGCGAAGGTGCTGTGCGGCACCCACTTGGCTGAGTTCCTGGGTGTGGTCTCCTCCATCATACGGTCCACCTGTTCAAGGGAAAGACCCTTGGTTTCCGGGATCAAGAAGTACGCGTATATGAAGCAGCAGACGCAGAGCGCGCCCCAGACGAAGAACACTTTGGGGCCTAGATTGCCTTCATCCTTGTCGACCATGTAGGGGGTGATGACTGAGATGATCTGGTGGAAAATCATGTTAGCACTGGGGAGAAGAACGGCGATGATAGCTGGAGGCGACTTACGCAGTTCCACAGCCAGTTGGAGGCAGTTGACAAGGCGACACCGCGGGAGCGTATTGGCAGAGGGTAGATCTCGCCTACAACGACCCAGGCACCAGGACCCCACGTAGAGGCGAAGAAGAAGATGTAGATGCAAATGAATGCGATTTCGGCCTTGACGGTCGTCGGGTTGCCTCCGTCCGCAGTCCCTATGATGGCAACAATGAACTCACAGATCACCATGCCCAACGCGCCCCAGACCAAGAGCGTACGGCGTCCGAATCGCTCAATGGTATAGAAGGAAATTGGGGTCGAGCAGACGTTGACGAGAGTGGTGATCAGACCGATGAGGAAGGGGTTGCTGATCGTGCCGAGCTGCTGGAAGAAAGTGGTGCCGAAGTAGAAGATGAAATTGATACCGGTCCATTGCTGCATCATCTGGAGCGATGTACCGAGAATGGTGCGGCGTAGGTTGCTCTTCTGTACCCAGAGGGAGCCCTTGAAGCAGTTTGCCCAGCTGGTGAAGTAGCTGCCTTGGGGTATCATTTGCAATTCGTACTCGTGGTTCGCGACGATTTCAGCAAGTTCCGTCTGCACGAATTCCGAATCGCGAGGCTGGCCACGCAGACGGCCGAGCACATCTGCAGCACGGTCGATCTTGCCTCGCTTGACAAAATAACGGGGTGATTCGGGAAGGAAGAAGAGACCGGTGGCCAGGATGATGGCCCAGAGCATTTGTAGACCGATTGGGACACGGTAGGAGGCGGTCGTGGTGTAATTCTGCGTGCCGTAATCGACGCAAGAGGCGAGGAGCAGGCCAATGGTGATGCAGAATTGGTATCCCGACACAATGGCACCGCGAACCTTCTTCGGGGCAATTTCTGACATGTAGAGGATGATGATGGCAGAGACGAAGCCGATCCCGAAACCGGCCACGAGACGACCGGCAACCAGCAGTCCATAGGTGGACGAGGCGGTTTGTAGTATGACACCGATGATAAAGACAATGCAGCCCAAGATGATTGTCGTGCGTCGACCGGTGAAGTCGGCGATATCACCCGCCATGAGGGCCCCGAAGAATGTGCCGGCCGAGAGAATGGAGACAATGAGAGATTTCTCCCACGAGGGCAGCGCGAAGCCACCGGGATCGGACCCGGTCTTGGCATTGAACCGAGGGTCGTTGGGGTCAAGACCGGTGTAGAGGTGAACGAAGTAGTTCATGCCGATAACACCGTTGATGTAGCCCGAGTCGTAGCCGAAAAAGATGCCACCGAAGGCAGCGAAGGCACACATCATGTAGGCTTTGAGGGTGACGGGGGCCTCGATCCGGCCAGTGTCGGCCGTGGCGATGAGGCCTACAACTCCTCCCGGCATGGTGGCGGTCCTGTTGCTCGATGAGTGGTCGATGTAGTTATTGGTGAGTGGGTGGAGTGAGAGGCCTCACAGCGTGACTAGCTGCTGCTGGCTGACAATCAAGGAGAGTGGAAGGAGAGAGAGAGAGAGAGAGAGAGAGATGAAGAGATGAAGAAGGAGAAGATAGAGGGAGGAAAAGTGAGGGGTCAGTAGTAATAGTAGTCGAGGATGGAATACTGGGGATGTGGAGGTGGTTCATTTATAGTACCTAGTGGAAGTTGGAAGGAGCTTCACTTTCTGACCTTTCTGCTTTCTGCTTCCTGCTGCAAACGGGGGGGATGTTGGAGTGTGGAGGTGTGAGCAGGTGATTGGAGACAAGTGAAAAGTAGATTGTTAGCTAAGTGTGAGGAGTGAAAAGCGATTGGACAAGGGATGGAGAGAAACATTCGGAATCATCATGTGCTGAACAAGTACCGTTAAGTAAGCTGTCAAGTTTTGAGTAGGATAAGGCGATATGCTTTCTCATTATTGGTGGACAAAGAAGAAGTTTGTCTTAGCTTCTTCTGCATGCATCAGCTTTGTGCCTGTAAGGCTAGTGAAGCACTAGTGGAGAAGTCATGCCCCGCACTATACGTTACTTTACTTTACTTTACGACCAACGTCGATCCTTACTCATACCCATATCCCTGTATTCCGTGGCGACAATCCTTTAGTTCATGCCAATGTCAATCCAGCGTATTTTAATTGCCGTCCGGGAGGGTGGAATCTCATCTATGACGACGATGGAAAAAAGGAATTCGCATTTTCAAAGAACGCTTATTGTTGGAGAAGTTAGTGAATGGGTTATAGCAAGAGTACTAAAGGGATCATCTCGTGGCTCCAAATGAAATCAAAGATAATGACGTCTGGATTCTGAGGAAGCGGAGACTTGACTCAATTCAAAGATGATCAGATCAGCAGAGATAAAACAATCCCCCGGATGTCACCAAGGGGTTCGTGCGTCTCCGTCCACTGCACCAAGTAATTACCCTTACTCGTGCTTGCTTACTCCAAACGGTCCAGAAAGTCCAATAGTGCCGTGTCATGCATGACGGTAACCGTATTACTTCTACTCCACACAGCACCACTCCACAAGGATAGGCTTCCGACTGCTGCGAGTCTGGCCTGTTCCACCACTCAGTCGCCCCTCTCCGCTGACAGGCGTGCCACTACTACCGTCCTGCTCGGCAAGGCTGCTTGTGTACATGGGGTAACCAGTGCGGGTCACGTGTCTTGGCGGCCGGATATCATCGGCTCCGTGCAACGCTGCAGGTCTGCTGATCCTCCGGTGTGCGCCATCGAGATCTGGCCTGCCAGCCGGGAATAGCTTCAGTGGCAATACCGAAACTAACCTTCTCCTTGACACGGTCGAACAAATCCAGATTCGGGATGAAATGTTCAATCTCGGAAAGCGAAAGGGCGGAGGATGATGGAGTGACCACATGCTAATATTCAAGAACCGTCACTGTCCTGTCTATTCTTCACCTGCCTCGCAACATTGACACTCACTCCTGGTCCTCCCCTTCCTCTGTGTCTTTCACTTCAATGGACTCTCAAAATACCCATTCCCCTCACTCTCCCCACCCTGCCGTCCTCTCCGGGCAGGCGTCACCGTTCCACTGGTGCCACTCCCTGCCGCCATCCCCATCTCCGGGCTGACTCTTCCACCCAACAGTATCATATCAGCGCTTCCCCCTCCCACGCCAGCGTTTCCCTCTTGCTTTCCAGCAAGAGCCGCCTCGTACTCCCACCGTGGTACATAGCCCGTCTTTCGCGCGTCACGATACGCTTTGTTGACAATCTGCTCCACGATCCCAGCGTCCTCGAACTCTTGGTATTTGCGCCATAGACCCAGCGCAGTGCGTGCATCCTCGATGCTGTCGTGGTTGCCCGTCTGTACCTCTTCTCGCAGCAAGAGTTCGGCCAGCATGGCCAGTCTCAGTCGGCGCGGGTTGTCTCGTTGCAGGAAAAGGTCGGCTGTGTCAATGATTTGCTCTTTGGGCACATGAATGTTGACTTCAAGGAAGTCTTTACCTAAACCATGTCCCACGAATATGCAGCCGAGATTGAGCAGCAGCCAAAGCTTCTTGTACGCGACTTTGAGGCTCACCAGTGCATGCCTCGAGCGGCGCGGGTCCAGGTCCCCCTCTCCGATGCCTGAATATTGAGTGACGTAGTCCACGATCGGTTCGTTGATGGTTATATAATCATCGATGAAAGGGATTCCTTCGTCTTCTCCGCCGACTCTGAGGACTGATACACGACCGAGACCGTTGCGCTTAGGATTGGTGGTGACTCGGCTGCCGTTGGCTGTAAGCTCGATCTCCTCGCGGACTAAGATTACAAATTCAGCGTCTATGGCAACGTGAGTGCCTGATTCTGGAACCTCAACACCAGGTTTCAGTGTATATGCTTCACGGCTGTTAAAGATACTAGTGATGTCAGTAAGATTGAA